CTGTAGTCGAACGGTGAGACGGACGTGTAGTTCAGTTTTGGGCACGCGTACGGTGCTGCAGGGATTATATATAGGTGTAGTAGTACCTCTTCGGGCTCTTGGATACCTTTTTCTTGCTACGTGTGCGTGTTCTTTAGATCCTCAGATGGCTCTAGCACTTTCGTGACCACGGGCTGAGAGTCTTTGCTAGATTTTGGCATTTAGCAACTGGCATACGGTTTAATGTGAAGTCAACAACAACAACATACCTTTTCTAGGTACAGTAGGGGGCCCTCTATAGTGCCGGTATGTGTTCAGAGAGCAAAGCGGCACTATACCGGGCACCGGCACTATTCAGAGTACAGAAAGACTTGATATTCCGGTGTGTGCGAGCCGAAAACACCGGCACTATACCGGCAACCGGCACTATTCAACCGGCACTATCTATATCGGGCCACCCACTGTACGTTAGCCTGTGACCACGGAAATTGACCGAGTCAAGTGCTGGATTAGTACGGAGAGATTGAGACAGAAGGAGGTACTGGATAGATAGAGAGACCGGGATGGTTTTTAATGTGAAGACAACAACAACAACACTCTAGTCTGCGTCAGTAAAAACACCAATTAATTTGGTCTGTGCCAAAAGGAAAAACAGTGCGCATAATTATTGTAGGCAAAGAAATAATAGGCATTATTATTACTGTACGTAGATAGGCCCCTGCAGCAGCATTCTAATCAAAATCCTGCCGCTGCGCCGAACCTCGCTTGCTTCCGGATCGACCACAACAGACCTGCTGCTGCCTATGGTACAGCACGGCGTGCTTCCATGTACGTACGCACGCATTGCGTGTCTCTTGTGTTTGAAGGCACAATTATTTATTTCCCGCGAGCGAGCGGTGATATACAGCAGTAGTTAGTCTAAGTAGTTCTGCTGTAGCCACTATTATTAGCATCGACCGACCCGGATCAACCCGCTGACCAATGAAAACAGACAGCAGTCATTCCGCGCGGCTGACTACAGAAAATAACGCGTCTCCTATATATATATGGTCCATGGTCGTGGACACACAGCAGTGAGGGGGCGTCAGTCATGGGAGAGCCTAGACTGTAGACTATTATTCTCCGGATGAAGAAAGACGGAGACGGTGCTGTAGAACATGGCAAGAAATGCAGGTATATGTAGTACGTGTACCGAGGCTTCTGCGTTCGAGACTAACTCGTTCGTTCGTGTGTGTTTATTTCGGCCCCGTTCGCTTGGCATGCATGCATGCTGTTGCTGCTTCCATCAGATATCCTACAGTAGACTACACGTACATACATACATACACAGATACATATCATCGTCCTCCTTCCGTTCATCACTCTCTCTCTCAAACCAGGTATTACTGCTGTAGCGTGACTTTATATTTACCTCCTGTGGATGTCTGCGCGCGTTTCTTGAATAAAGTACGTAAGTAGCATGTACTGCTTTCATACAAGTCTTTTCATGTGATTGTGCCGGTTGAAAGCATTTATTTGCTGCGTACTCCGCGAAGATGAACCTCAGTAGATCCCTTTCTGTTCGTTCGGTCATCATGCAGCATGCACATACATCTATCCACAGAACACATCAGATTGTGCCAAACAAAGTGCCTCCGGCCTCCCCAGCAGTCACATCGTGGTGGGTGGGAAGTCACTCTTCACGTCCAAAACTGAAACTGTCTTGATCTCTACCCACGACGTCCCCACATCAATACCACCAAGGGATTAAAAATATCAGTGTGGTCACACAGACCGGCTGCTTCAAATTGATGCCAGAAGGGCGAACGAAGAAGAGGAAAAATGTTCACTGCTTGCTTCTTATGGATACATCATCATTCATATTGTACGCGTCGGCGAGAGCGGCTGGGGGTACGACCGATAGTGATCAAGTCGTGATAGCGCAGTCGACGGGGTGCACGTCACTCTAGTACGATGCATTCCTTGCCTGGCGCGCAGAGCACCTTAGTTAGATAGGTGCGAATCGTCCCTCTTACTGGTATCACATTATATTCCGCACGTGGTCTAGTCTACGTCTTCAATGTTGCATGTCCAACTACTATCAATAATCAATAGTCTGTGCAATGCCCGCTACATACAGCATTTATGAAGAGAAGGTGCAAATAGACATCCCCGCCCGCGTACCCAGTCACACAGCCAAGGAGTCGCGGATATACACATGAGAATGGGAAAAAATGGGTCGAGCCCCTTAAGCGGAGATACATTGACCTCTCACCGGGAGGCGAAACGCGGTCAACCTATTATGATATCAACGTCCAAGGGGGCGTATGCCCGCAAACCCCGTGCACTTTCCCCGGATATTTCTCTTCGCGCCGGGGGTCCGTCGATTCGCTTCATATGCTAGGACGATGTAAGCATTATCAGCATGCCGACATGGATCAGGATATTACGTCACCCACCACAACATCTCCAACGCATGAAACCAAGGCCGTCTCTTCCCTTCACCCCTTACCGGCCAGATCTACATACTTTTCTGTGTCTAATTATCTCCTCGTTTGGAGGCTCCTTTCCACCAACAACATTGGAAATGCGTACCCGTTATCGGAGTACTTTTACTGGTCAATCTGCACCCATCAGTCGAAAGACCACGTGGTGTCGGAATCGTTCCTCTCTTCCCCTACCCCATACATACTCACTGCTGTTCCATCGACTACCACTCGTAGTGTTTGTCTGTTCGTTGCGACGGCAACTCGAAGCGTTCCAAGCGTTCAAACCCCTAGGGGTGACAGATATGACGCCGGGACAGCGGAAGCATCAATGTTACCGGTCGATGTCAGCGAATACACCTTGGACCCATCGCCACCTGGAGTAGCGCAACAAGTTTTTCAAGCGCAGGAGAACAGCTAAAGTCACAAACTTCAGAGTTGCTGTGGAGAAACATGATCATCAACCCATCAGTGTGGTACAAGACCAAGAACACCACGCAGGTTAAAGAGGCTCATTTCCCGCCATGGCCAACCATGGGGCAATTGTTTATTAAGCCGGTTTTTTCACGGTGGAATCGTCCACCGCGTTGAGACTCATGCCAAACTGCGCAGAGTTTTTTTGGAAGAGATATTTTCTTTGCCAGTGGTAATTCGTTTCGCACTCTTCGAGCTGGGTTACATTTTGGATGCCTCACCGCTGTGGATGCTGTGCTGAACAGTAGCGGAAACAAGAAAGTCGATGGACCGGCACAGGAATCTTGCGTCCATATCGCTGCTTGTCTCAAACCCTAGCTTGCCTTCGCCATCAGCCGTCACCCACACACACTGCGCGACGGAATGTGGGTGGGCGCGGTTATCATCCGCAGTCGTGAACGAGCGTCGGTGCTTCTGATCCCATGACCTTGGGCCTCAGACATTGCCTCAGACTGTTTTGTTGGCGTCGTATTCCCTGTCTGCTCCACGTGGAACGTGGTGAACCTCATAAGGCCTTATACGATGGGCGGGGTTGTGCCCGTGATTAGAGAAATTACGTCTACGGACACGCCGTGCAGCAGCATACCTTATTTGCGTCCACTGTTTGTTCGGGTGTTCGGGTATCGGGTACTACTGCATAGAGCGACACAGAGCGATTTCACTTCAGCTATACCGCCCGCCTGGTCAGAGTACGCGCTCACATTGCCGCTGTGCTCGACCTTAGCGATGTCAGCTATGCGAACCTCTCGTTGTTCCCGTGGGAACAGGCGTTTCGAGTTCCACACGACGGCACCTCCAAGCGGTGTTCCGTCTTCCAGACTGTCCATCCCGTTCCATGCGAAACGGATGGTTCGGGCCGCCCACTTCCCACGCTGGTCACCGAGAAGAGAACAGGGAGTGTATGCGCGAGCCAGCAAAGCAACACATGCGTGGGAGGGTAAAGTGAATGGGATGGAACAGAGTTTTGAGGTGTTGTAGCACGACCAGCCTTGCCGGGTATACCATATGGCCCATTTACGAACTCTTACGAGTTAGCACTGCGGCGCCGAATGTCTCACATTCTGGCAAGATGCTATTGCGCCCGCCGAGATGATACATTTCAGCAACGAAGAGGCTTCCGGCACGCCTTGACACGACTTGAAATACATCTGTTATTCTCGGCGACTTAGTTATCGCTCACCTCTGAACCCCCGGTGCCAAACGTCATGCTCCGCTGATACTTCTTCACGGCAAGCCCGGGACCTTCGGGACCCATCAATAGTAGAAACCGTTCAAGCACCTGTAGATGGGGGTGCCGGGACCTAAGGTCTGTACTGTGTCTGATCTTCACGATGGGCGAGGAGGAGCTCACACGCTGGCAGTTATCAAAGGTGTTGTGTCTGGAACCTCGGGAGACGAAAATGTACCCTCACGAAAACGAGAGTAGTAAAGAATCTTGTTCTGCCAATCCCGACCCTCTTCGTCAGCCACTCTTGCAAGGCATCTCCAGTTGCCCTGAACAGCTGACTTCCTATTCCTGAAGGCCTCGACGAACGATTGTGTCAATATAGATAGGCCTTCATAGTTGACTTCACGCAGAGAATACTCTCCTAGAATACCTTCGAGCGAACCACGCCTTCGCCCAGGTTGTCTTGTTCATGCATGCTTCGCACTTCAGACAGGGCCATGTCAACATTGCCCAGGTACTGCTTGCAATATATAGGCAAGCAATGGTCGCGCCAGAGAAACACGGGAAACATCATTTAGAGGATTCTGGTACGTAGAGATTCATCGAACTCCTACCAGTCAAATAGTTGTACATAATACCGTTGTCTTTCGTACTTCTGTAGTAGATCACAAGTGAGCGTTACACAGCTATGCATCACAGCAAGTGCCCCACGGAGAGAGGCCGTGTAACAGACAACCACAGAGAGACCAAAGATTTCGTGGCCGCTCACCTCGACCCGCTGCAAAAGCGCAGCTAAGGACGGTCCGCGTTTCTTGGGCAACCATTCAATGTCCTCCATGAGCTCATCTCGTTCTGAGGTGGTACGAACGGGGCGACAGCATGAGAATCCTCACAACAGGCACTGCATACTTGTAGTCGAAAAACTGGACTCTAACAACTGTGGGGTAGGCCTTTCAGGTACTTCATAGTTTTATATCGACTGCTATGTCATGCATTGTCGGTATTGCTCCTGTTACATTTATGACGGCGGACTTTGTTCTCAGTCCGACGCGCTTCGATCGCTGTGGTTGTACGTGTGTATTCGGGAAAGCAGCCTGTCGTGGGAATTCGATCATGTCCACAGCTACTTTTGTCATTACCCGGGTGGAAAAAACTCGTGAGGCCCTCATCTACTCCGTCTTCTATTCCATCTCCCATGTTTTCTCGCTGGAGAACACGGTCGGTGGTCATGGGAGCGGGAGTAAGGGGCTCCTCGACCAAGGAAGCAGCTGCCTGTAGCGAGTCTGGCCCATGCCCCTGCCGCTGCTGCCAGGGGCAAAGTGGGAGGCACAATTCTGTCAATATTCGTGAGCGAAAAAATGCTGCATAGACTAGTCGTTCCATCCCAGCAGTGCGGCTAAGAACATCGTCAAAGGACTCGATTGAAGTTTGTCCAGGAGTATTGACGAGGGTAGTTCTCTAGCCTCTGGATGCGCTGTGCCCCCCATTCTAAGTTATAGAGTAGAGTTGGACCACTGCATATCTCACTTTCAATGAAAGTACGCCATCTGTTGCCTGCCTGGATAACGGAAGAGAAAGTGTAGAATACAACGGCATGGTGTACCCGGTTCATCGTCGCGAGAATCCTACATTCGCATTATTAATGACATGGTATGATCTGACCGAACAAAACAGAATTGTTCGTTTGTCGTAAGTCGGCCGACTGACGCGGAGATTGGGCTACAAGTAGAGTCACCTTTCTTTTAAGGCTGCCGAGGCCACGCTGGGACAGAGGGACCACGCCATAGGGCGCATTCTGTCCAGTTCCAGCATTGCGCAAGTCTTCATTAGTTGATGGCGCCAGCTCTTGAACGGGCGCGTAGAGGTTAGCATGAGCCGAATGAGACGGCAGGCACTGTCCCGAACGTATCACGTGCTGCCGGAGAAGCAAGTCAAGAAAGAACACGCGAGTCACGAACGAGCCTTCTTGTTTTTCCGGTTTTACTCTCGCCGAAACTTCGCTCGTCGATTTTGCCAAACCGAACTGAAAGCGTCACTGCTGTGCAAAACCGAACTGAAGCGTCACTCTGCTGTGCGCACGATGTATATTTGGTGTGAATCAAATTTACCGCACGATTCGTTCATGTAGTCTATACACACACGCGAAGTCTTTAGCATACATGGCGAACCGACGCGCGCGAGCACCGTTAACTACTTGTACCCATGTACCATTCGTTCTCTGCATGAAAGTATTAGTCTACACCACGTCATGAGTCACCCCATTTTAGTGATGTGTTTGATGAGATCATCGGCTTGATGAGAAACACAAAGTCTGAGAGGTGTCTGTATGAATACATACAAGCGTGCAGTTTACCTCTTGGCTCAGCTCCAGATCCTCTGCTAGGGGGAAGGTGGGGTCGTTGGCCACCTCGGGTGGATCTGGGTATGTGTCATCCCCGCCGCCGCAACAGGCCATTTGCATACATGCCTCGCTTTTCGACAAGGCGGAGCCCATTATGTTAGCAACAGGAGTACGTGGCCGAAACTCGATGGACCCGCCGCAAAACGAGTTCCTCGCATGGCTCGTCCGCGGCAAGCCATCTCGTGATCACACGATGTCGTCGCAAGTCCAAAGGGTGTATTGTACGAGGTGTCCCGTTGTTTTGTAACGGCAATTTGTTTTTGAATCCCTCTTCAAATAGCATACTGAACTCCATTGCCCCCCGCAGCAGCCTTATTTGCGATGCCCCCGGTCGCATTGCCGACGCTGCCGTGATGTGCATAACTGCATGCTAGCATTGGCATTGCCACCATGACGGATCGGGTAGATCGGGCCGTGGCCCAGACCAAGAAGGTGGCAGCGGATCCCATCAAGCAAGCAGAGCTCATGTTGGCAGAGGGCGTTGGCATGAGTGAGTGGATCGGGGTACAAAAAGAATCAAACGTGTGCCCGTACGCTGAGCTACAGGTATTTCCTTCGTGCATGGCATCTCCACACGGCCACACCAAACCACGCATCATATATGACACATTACAGCAGGCAAGCCGCGTTACAGCAGACAACAGAGTGAACTTCCTTGTTGAATCAAGGTGCAGAACGAGTCAGCGCGGCTGCGACCAGAGCGGTATTGCGAGGTTCTCTTTGCAGCTGGCGGCATGTCCTGTGTTGGGTTGTGGGTGGAGCCCCCCTGCCTCTTTCCACGATCGCACCTATGATACGCTGTTAGGAAAGTTACACACATGCGTGTACGTTGCTGAACGCGTCGGTGTCTCTACGGCTCCACGGAGCGTAAGTTCACCGCTTGGTATGTGCCTCTGTGCTCCGCTTCTTCAAGAAAACATCCACAACGTGGTCGCCAGATGTATTTCGTTCTGTTATCACAACTCTGTATGCATGTAGCAGACCATTTTACTGGTACAATACTGCTTGACTGCTGTACAGCAGCAGCAGACCCAACAGCAAGTGTGTGTCATACAGCAGTATCGGCAGTATATCTGGCGGAGACGTGCGGAGTTTGCGTTTCTCCGGGTCGGGGCATCTCGTGTCGAGGATTTCTAGCACGCCCGTACCCCCCCCATACGCACAAGAAGCAAGAAGTGCCGTGCGTTGAACCATTCCTTATGTATGTCCCCGTACAGGCACAGCTGCCACCGATTTAGCTTGTGCTACGGAACACACGTTGGTTTCCGGAAACTCCTCTCTCGGGAAGGCCACAACGCCACCAACAGATGAGTGAACATCCCTCCCAATCCCTCGCAGACGAGTCCGACATGCGAGAAGTCAACCACTTCCTGTTGAAGCTCAAGAACGGTAGCGAGAGCCGTGGCGAAGGAGTCATCTGTGAAATTCCCCATTCGGCGCCGGCAAACGAAGTACGCGCGGGATCCGGCTTAGGTCCATCGTCCGCGGAGAACACCGGCTTGGACCCCTTGCAGAGTGCATCCCCGGATACGAAGGTGTGAATCACCTATATATATTGCTTCGTATAGTTGTACTTCTCACAGCTGAACGAAGGATTTGTTTCGTACCGCCGTTGCCAAAACGAAACGAAGTTGTTTACCAAAAATGCACGCGCTGAAAGTCTTCACAGGGGGTGGATGCTATTTATGGGTGTGATGAAGACCGGTCTTGATTCGACAGAGTTTGAAACGAGAACAACAGCACCCAGCGATCGCACACGAGATATGTAGATACATGATACCAGGTGGGAAGTGTTCCCAAAAGATTTAGTTGTCGCACAGAGCAGCGGTTGGGGCTTGTTTTCACCAGCATTATCACGCAGTCTACCCTGCACACACCTCTCAAATCAATGCAAAAGTTCTGAAGTCTAGAGTCAAGGCAAAACAGGCGACACGACGGGTGCTGAAATCGTAGATAAGCTCGATGCGAACTCGGTAGAGGACATGATGGAGCAGCGAAACGCGCGTTGCGCGTCCAGATCTGTTGTTGCCGGGGCGTGTTGTCGAAGGCTGCAGCGGCGGCCCGAAACGTGCGCAAAAATGGGTCGAACGCTTTTACGATCCACTACTGAACATGCACCATCACAGACCCGAACCCCCGAACTGCTGGTCTACACTGACAGTGCGGGCGAGTTGTTCGGGTTCCTTACCATCTCGATTTGAACACATTGTCGAGATCGATTTCCGACAACCCTCTACAAAGGAACGGTGGAATTAACCGCGCTGGGAAACGACTTCCGCGCTAGGAAACGACTCTCGCGCTGGCAAACGACTGAGCGTCCAAGTCCCGAAAAAGCCTCCTACCGAACCTACGCCTCATGAACGGAATGGCCGCTCGCTTCTAGCCGAACAGGACGACTCACGAATGGATCGTTGGCGAATTGTTGGAAATACGCTTAATTCATGCATGTTCGAGGTGTCCCGGCTCCAATCTGGAGCGGTGCTCCCGTCTGCGAAGGGATACATGTGGTCCATGCCCAATCTCTACCGCCGGTGCTTGATTCACAGGGTGGTCGCCAACTCCTGCTGGACGCGGCTCTTGAGGCGATGAAGGTTGCCGAGGACCCCTCCACGAAAGGCGACAGAGTGCTCATGGCGAGAAGCTTCCACAGCGCCACGGTGTACCTAGAGGTCTTGAGCTCGTTCAACGCTCTCGGTCCAGGTGTGTCTACAGACAGCAGCTGGATTGTGCGATATAATTGAGTGCTGAGGCCGGGCACAAGGTCAGGGTCCGTGGTTCTCGATCGGAACCCATGTCGTATCAACGCAAAGCGCCGATTTGGTTGAGTGTTGCTCGGCTGCTGGCGGCCATGAAATTGTTTGTGGGGCTTATTGGATGGCTGTCCCCACACACCGCCCTCGACTCTTGCTACTATGTCGGTTTCGTGGAGCGGGTTGTGCAACGCGTCCGCTGGAGTCAAAGACTCCCGATGATTGCCGTAGGGGCGCCGCTGTCGCTCGCTTGATTGACCCCCCCCTCCCCCTTCCCATTGCCGTGCCGCGCCGTATGAAGAGCACGAGCGGCAGCTCCAGTACACCAAGTGGCGCACGTACCAGTGCTCTCACCTGCTGGAGAACATCAAGCACGAGTTCCTAGAGACGGAGGGCAGGGTGGAAGACCACTACTTCTTGGAAAAGGCGAGAGGTTTTTCGTTGTGTTTCGCCTTCCTGCGAGGCGGATAAACGCAACAGCTGCAGGATAGAATGGTACTACAACAGGACGGTACAGCAGTGAGCTATTGTACATTGCGAGGAAGGCGGCGTAGTCAGCGGCCTGCCACGCACACAGGACCTTGAGATGTAGCAGAGGCAGGCGTACGCGCAATGAAAAACATCCACGTGCGATCTGGCAGTCCAAAAGCTAGTTACGTGAGGCGGTTGGCAGCGTTTGACGCTAGAGATGCTCGCTGCTTCAACCTTCCAGTGGTATACGGAGAAGCACCCACGCTGAGTATCCTTTATTGATGGTCCCCTTTCGATGGAACGGGATCTAAACCCTAACAGGACAAGGAGCTTGGGCGGGGCACTTACGGGAGGGTGATCCAAGCGACACACAGAGGAACGGGCCGCCAGTATGCGTGCAAGGTGGTGCACGTAACCCGCATGGAGCCCCGTCAGGTTTCGAAGCTCTTCTCCGAGGTGTCGGTGTTGCGCGAGCTCGATCATCCGCACATTGTGCGAATGCACCAAGTTTTCTACTCCAAGGTCCGTAAATTATCAATGTCTCTCTGCTACGTAGAGTTGTTCACTTCTGGTGGTACAGTAAGGTATTGGAAGCATCGCGGCTGGATTGCACGGAGGTGCTCCGGCGTTGATACTGTAATCCCCACGACCCATGAGGCCAGGATACTGTTCTGTTACACTTGTTGTCACTTTTCCCATGTAGTACCGTCGTCCTGACAAATGGGTAGATTTCCCTACTACTTACGTCCTATTGTCTTATCTCTGGAACTCTGGAGCCCTGACCCGGTGCGTGGCGAGCACGGTGTCCAATGCTGAGTGGCCGCATGTCGTCATGTGTGCCTGGGGGTCGTGTTCTCTTTCTGGTAGTTGCGGCTATCTATTTCCTGCGTTTCCATTTAGCATCGCCTCGGGCAGGTGAAATTGCAGTAGAATCTCGACCCGGGTATTGTATCCCTTCCGTGTTTCACACTTCCGGCGTATTGTCGTGCGAGTTCAGCGGTATGTTATGTCTTGCTGCTACTCTCTCACTGGCCAATCTTAGGAGGCAGCAATATGAATTATTGGCCACTTTTTCCTGGACTTTGTACCTGAGTGTGGATAGAAAAGAGGTGAAATTATTTTATTTGTGTAAGTGAAACAGAGGATCTTGTTCGCTGTTTGTAAGGAAGAAAAACGTTGGTGCTTTTGTCGGGGAGAGCTGTTCTTGTGGTTGACCCTGCGGCCTCTCCTCCCCCCGCCCCACAGCGGCACATCTACATGATCATGGACCTTGCCACGGGAGGCGAACTATTCCACCTCGTCACTAAGAACCCAGGAGACTGCGCCACGGAGTCGGAGATCAGGAGGATGCTCACCAATATGCTCAGTGCGGTGAGAAACGAAATCTTTGATTGTTATGTTGCGTATGTTCCCTTAAGTTGCCCATAAACACGACGATTTCTTCCCGCTTTTGTTGCGCATCACTGATATAGATCCGGCGTATCTAGTTGAATGAAGCAGCTTATGAATATTTTTGACGTTTCACTTAACGCTGTGCTCCTTGAGACTGAATTACACGGTCATCGTCGCCATCGTTCCGTGGAGAACATTGGAGTCGATTTGGTTGGCGCATCTTTGTGTAGTTTTTGTGTAGTGCAAGTGCTCCGGCAGCGATGCTCCTTGGAATATCTCGCCCAGTCGCTCGCTCCCGCATCCTGTGGGCACTTTGTCTCTGCGTCCTTACCTGAACCTGCTCTTTGTCTGTCCGTCCGTTTTATCCTGTTTTCGTGCATCCGCGGCCATGCGTTCATCATGCGCGCCCCATGTGGCAGGTGGGCTACATGCACCGCCACGGCATCGTCCATCGCGACCTGAAGCTGGAGAACTGGCTGATGCAGACGCCGGGGGACACGACCGCCGTCAAGCTGATCGACTTCGGCCTCTCCAAGCACTTCACACTGGACCAGAACATGCAGCAAGCGGTGGGGTCCACGTATTACGTCGCCCCAGGTGACACGAAACCAAAGAACGGTTTTATAGGTAGCAGCCGTTGCACACCTCTCGCTTTTCCTTTCGCATGTGCACGTATGTTGGCGTTGGTTGGCAAGATGTTGGGGTGACATCAAAGCCGGTGAATCAGAGTTTGTGATGAAACCGCCTCTCCTCACGTTGTAGCGTACATGCCTTTCGAGGGCGTGGCAGCGGACGTTTTTCTGCTGTGCTCCGCGCTTGTACTGCCACAGGCAGGGCATTACAGACCAACCCTCATTCCGGTCGTTTGGCAGCCTCCGCGTACCGTAAATGTCTCCTGTATGCATCTTCTCCAAGGTTGTCGCAGCCGTTTCAGTCTCTCTTCTGACACGGGATATCAATGTCCGTTTGCGCCCGTACAATATCAACGAACGTTTGATGCAGAGGTCTTGCAAGGCTCGTACGGTCCTAAGTGCGACATGTGGAGCATGGGTGTGATCGCGTACATGATGGTCTCCGGTGCGCCGCCTTTCTGGGGGAACGGCGATGCGCAGGTGGGCCTTGCTGTCCATCTGGTTTGATGCGTACTATGCACCGCGTGTACGTGATGCTGTAGGGAGACGTGTTGTAGCAATCGTTACCCTTCTTCCGTTCAACGTTGGCGACAGGATGGGCTATCCTCCGGATCTTGGCATGAACGTGGACGGGTAGCGGGAGGGGCGTGGATGCTTCTCCGCTCACGGTCTCATTTCTGGTTTTTGATTGGCCAGTCTTTCTTCAAGACCCCACGCGCAGACGCCGCAGATTTTCGCCTGGAACGTGTATCCCATTGTATGCTTTTTTCGCCCCGCGTGACACGGCAGGTCCGCGCAAAAATCGTTTGCGGGGAGTACGACATGCCCGAAGTGTTGTTCCAGCACATCTCTTCTGACGCGAAAGACTTCATCACCAAGCTCCTCGTGGTGGACCCGAAGGAGCGGCTGAGCGCCGAGCAGGCTCTCGCGCACCCTTGGCTTCGCCGGCCTATAAGGTACGTGCTTCGTGGGATGTCCTGCATTGTTGTACAATGCTACTGCTGTTGTGTTTACAACATCGTTCGATGCAGTTCTTTAGCAGACGTGGGCACGGCTAAGCGAGGCAGACCTCCACGGCCCCTGTTCGCTGGGTGCACCTCGGTATTCGCGGGGGGCATGTTGGCGCAGAAGCACCGTGCGTCTTCGGGCCTTTTGGAGGTCCGTCTGGTCTAATTGTTGAGACAATGTGTGTGTACTACGTGACTAAGTGCCCCCCGCTCGCCCGCCCCTTGTTTGCTCATTGTCACCACGTGGTGACTGGGCGACTGTCTCCCGTCTCTATTTACTTGTTCCCACGCGTACAGTAGATCCCCGAGCTCGACGACTGGAAGTGTTCTACCGAAGGGCGATCTAGTTCGAGCACTGCAGCAGTTCAGCAGCTTCACCACCTTCCGACGGCTCATTCTCGAGGTGCCTCCCTCCCCGGCCTGACTTGCTTGTTGTCGGCATGCTGCAGAATGGACGCCCTTTGGTCAGTTAGAGAATGCCGGTCTACGCCCAACCTTGTCTTGGTGAGGTTTTGCGAAGGCAAGAGACCGTGATGCGGGGCTCCGTGACACGTTTGGCGATGCTTCTCCTCTCTGTCTCAGGTATGCGCGTATAACATGCCCCCGGCGGAGCTTGAGGGGCTTCGACTAACGTTCGAGGCGATCGACAAGAACCACAGCGGGACCGTGTCCTTGGGGGAGCTCGGCACCCACCTACAGGTTAGGCAGGACATTCGTACTCGAACGGCGCATGGCTTCCGCACATGGAGCAGACCTATAGAAGCCGAAATCAAGCCATTGGAATAGTCAGCGCTGACTAGTCTAGTGGTTTGGAGTCGATTACTACAGAAGTTAGGTTTTGCTGACTTGTTGATTTCGTCTTGTAATGGCCTTTGGGTTTATTTATTGCCTAGGTATGACGGTCACGCGAACCCCTTCGATGAAATGCAAGACCACTCAGTAGGTTGAGATAGTTTCGCCGATACACGCGCATCTCGCCGTGGCGAGAGTGAGGCGACGGTCGACACCCCCGGTGTGCTGTAGCCAGAAATTCTGCGTCGCAGCAGAGTAGAAGTTCGATCTTGGCGTTGGAAGCACGCGTTATGATCGTCAAATACTGCTGGTTGGTTTGGTGATCGCTTTGGTACAAACCTGCCCGAACCTCTTGAGAATCCAATTGGCTCCTGGTCCACCGCCGAACGTGTTGCTTCCGCGGATTTGGCAAGCACAGTTTTCCTTCTTTTTGAGAGCGCTGTCACTGCTGCCACGTGTGACAATCGTACATAATGGCCACCGTGTGCCCACGCTGCCATCAGGCTCACGTCTCGTGGTCGGAGCTGCAGCAGCTTTATGAGGCCATCAACGTCGACCGTACCACGGAGATCAACTACAACGAGGTGAGTGTCCTTCCGAGGAGCAGCCGCGGCCTGGTTAGCAGGCGGTAGTAGCGAGGCGGGAGGGAAAGATTCAGGCAAGGGAACGACGATGCTGTGTTGCTCGACGGGGGGNGGGGGGGGGGGGGGGAGGGGGGGGGGGGCTACGCGGCTACGTCGGTTATTTCCATCAATAGAGTACATCTCTCTGCTACTTGTTGCAAGAATGCAAGCTGAATGCTTGCATGGTTCCAAGAGGTGGTGCTTCCTGCCGAGAGCACGCTGTACAAGGTATCCCCCGTATCAGGGAAGACCTTTGGCACGTGTGTCACCCGCTGGTTTGCCGCTACAACCAACCTCATGTGCCCCTCCCCCCCTTATCTACCCGCAGTTCATCGCAGCAACGGTGTGGACTCGTGTCAACGTGGACGAGGAGAAACTCCATAAGGTGTGCGTGTGCCAGGCATGTACGAGGTTGTTTCCGCGTCCTTATTCTGGTGGAGTTGTGCAAGTGGAGTTGTGGGGCGAGTTGTGGGGCGAGTTGTGGGCCCCCCACGAGAAACTGTTGTTCCACACGATATTTGACGTAGGCATGTATGTGTACCCACGTTTTGGGTAAACCGTGACGTTGTCTAGCGAACTATAGTAGGTCGAGTTCCACTAACCCCCCCATCCCTGCACAGGTTTGTCCATTGTCTCAGCGTGCTGCCCTTTTCCGCCCCGCTCATTTTTATTTGTCGAGAGGTTCGCGTTGGACGACTCCTCCCCTTAGGACACAGCCTAAAGTCAGCTGTGAATCGGTTATCTCCTCTATTTCATGTTGGACACATGACCGCAAGCCGTGTTTCGGCGACGGATATTCGATTTCTTCGCTCGCGGCAGGTTTTCGAGAGCCTCGACCGAGAAGGAAAGGGCTTCCTTACGGCGGAGGGTATCAAGCAGGTCGTCGGGTTAGACTTCCAAGCCGAAGAGGTGAGGGAGGGAGGCCCTGGCAAAATACGGTAGCGCTTGTGGCACGAACGTTGCTGCTCTTTTGCCGCGGCGCCTGTGCTGCAAGAAAAAGGACGAAAATCGCAGCAAGAAATTATCTTTTCATTGTTTCAAGTACGAAGATACACCGGATCAAAACCGAAGTGGCCACTCCATGCCATCGAGTATGGTGGCAGAAAATCGCCCGTTATGGCTGGAAATGTCGGAAACCATTGCACCCTGTCGAGAACTCTAGTTAGCTGTCCGCTAAATCAGCTCGCATGACCATCCGTGTCTGTCAGGTGGACCACATGATCGCGGAAGCAGACGTTTCAGGCGATGGCCGTGTGGACTACTCCGAGTTCGCGCACTTGTGGAAAACGTCTCTCCTGCAGAAGCACCACAAACCCGCGACTGGCCGTTTGCAACAGGTGTGTGCAACCCGACGGGGGCGTTACCACTATTGGATTCTGTTGGCAGTTGCTGTCGGTATGGACGGTGGAATCATAGTACCTGTTCGGCACTTCAGAAGGCGTGCTTGAGTTCTTCAAGCCGCGCGAACTATTTGTGTGGGCAACATTTTTGTCGCATGACACACACGCAAGGCATCTGTGTTTCATTCAATCATGTCTCACTTTCTTGGGAGTTTTCTGCTGACAGACCGGCTTGATTATTTGATCGATGAACTCGCTCTCGACGTCGGACCCTGACAGCTTTCTTGCCCCCCCCCTCCCCCCCCCCCTTGCGCACGCTTCTCCTCCATAGGTTGTACGCAGGTTTGGCAGCTTCGGGAGCAAGTTGGAAGCTGCTACCGGAGGCTTGGGTGCAAAGCTATCGCGGTAGTTGAGTGCTTTAGCCTCGGCGGCAGCACCAGATTAGATTGATACATGAAAATTGTTCGTACTGGTGCTGTCCAGGGATTGTATAGATAGGAGAGAAGAACAATGCTCTCGTCGCACAAGCCCGGTGCAGCCTCCGGAGCTCAAGCTTCAAAGCTTCTCACCTCCCCATGTTTTATTTTATTTTACTGAGTGCAAGTACGGTAGGCACGTTTTGCAAAGGACTTAATTTCTTTTGTATTTGTACAGGGAGTCAGTGTAGCTTGAAAATGCTGGGTTGTGATCGCCACATTATTCTTTGTGGTAGCAAGCAAAAGCACCCTCTGTGATTTTTTTGAGATGTCAAGCCGTGACGTTTGCACGAGTTTGTTGGGCTTACCAAATACACTGGTGACCTGTGCTCACGTTGTTTAGCAGTGCAAGCTGCTTTTTTTTTTTCTGCACGCTGCATGCATAAGATTTGTTGTATTGTTTTGTTTCTCCAGTTGTGATCGTCGCACATGATTGATCATTTCCTCGATGCGTTTTTCTTTTGTTTCTTTTTCTCTTGTTTGGTGTCGGCGAAAAGAAGCGTATTTCTGTCTGTCTGTCTGTCGTGTGTTGAAAACGAACGATCGCCCTCTTTGGACCTGTTGAGGTCAGCAGTGGGAGGTATTCTGCATGGCCTGTTTTGGACTGGGAATTCAGTAAGCGCGATCTTGTCTTGTCTGTGTCGGTGAATGTATCGTATTCTGTCTGTCTGTCTTCTATGGTATTGAACGAACGATCGCCTGTGCGAACCTTTTTCAGATACTTTATGTATACGGCATGGCCTGTTTTTGCATTGGGCATTCAGTTGAAGGTGCCATCTTTTGGTGTATTGTCCGCCGTCATCGGTGCCATCGACTGCTGCAACGCAGGCTGTGAATGCCTACAAGCCTATAATAGGTGTTTCCTGCAGGGGTGGTTTTTGACCTCCGGTAGAGATTGGAAACACGTCCACCCCGGTATTGTATGAAGCACGCGTGTTGGTTGACGGCGACATGTCCATTGGTTTGAAAATGCCCCGAGCAGAAGAGCACTCGGGATCCTGTATAAGCGGGTTGGTTGTTGTAACGTATATCGAGGGTCATGGCCGGAAGCAGGCGACACCATGTTGTATCATTAGGACGCCGACGACACTGCTGCTGTAGCGATTGGGCGGCACCGCTTCCGGCATAAAGTGAAGCGAGCGCCGACAAGACAATCTCTTCCAGCATACAATCAAATCAATTTTTCTTTCGGTCTCTGTCGTTACAATTCAAGGGGAGGACATGGTTGGAGTTTCTGAAGGGTATGCACACCTCCAACGATTCTCGCTCTTTGCTCGACCCTCACTGCCCAAACGCCTGATCTGATCAAGTACACGATGATACCACCACCCCGCCTGCCCTGTCTTCAACGCCTGGTGCATCGCCGCGCGTTCGTCAGAAGTTGAGTATGCCAGTGCAATTCGGTCGAAAAAGGACACACGGATCTTGGCGTACGAAGAGCTGGCTGTGTTCCATGGAGGGGTCACACGCAAGCAGCAGAGCAAAAACTGTCTACTCGGAACCGCGTCAGACCCCCACCTGCTCAATGCCACTTTCCCGAACGACAAACCGACAAGACACGGCTGGGGCAAGGGGCGATTTCGTCAGGTGCATCTCCCGATGGCCATCGTGTTGCTCCAAGATCAACCTGTTGGAAACACAGTGATGCCACGTATTCCCTAGGGCGGGGATGATGTAGCTGTCTCCCCGCCCCCCGGATACCTCTGTCTCGAACGCCGACTTCCCTTCTCGCGAGCTTGAATTGGTGTGGCTCGCGATGCTCTGCCTGCTGCCCCCTTGCAGTCCCGATGTGGGGTAGAAACTTGTGGTGACTTGGTTGGTCACCAGAACCACCGCCGAAAAGGTGTAGGCCAGGCTCCTGCAGTGTCGAAGAGAGATAATCAAGGCGATCGACTATCATCATCATCGACGCCTTCTTAGAGAAAGGTGGAACACACTCGTGCACGAGGGATGCATGGAGCAACGAAAGGCCAAACTTCTAGTACAGGCTGCGTTAGCGCGATGCGATTGTTGGCGCCAACCATGCATGAGGCACCGCCACCATTCCGTAGTGCTACCCCAGACTGTTTACAATTCATTTAATTGTACACTGAGTTTAATGCGGTAACACTACTTTATAACCCTGAAGAAGGTCATTGGATTGCAAAAGGTCATTGAGGTGCATGACCTCCCTCCCTTCTTCCTCGCTTTCTCACTTTAGAACTGCCGCTTGTCGGGTTAGGAGTTCTTGTCGGCTCAACGTATCCTCTCTTGCAAAATCCTGCGAGAAAAGAGAAACGAAGAGAAAGGCGGGAAGCAGCACACCGATGACAACGGTGGGTTAATCGCTTGTTCCGAACACGACACACGCACTGACTTATAAAACGACTCTTGCGACCAAAAATCGGCGTTGTGGTATGTATCGGTGCACTTCGAAGACCTACTGTACAGCTACAAACGTCCATGAGTTTGGCTCACATGGAATGATAGCGATGGTGTTGAAGAGAGAGGGAGATGCCATGACCACAGACAGGTGTACGACGCCAAACAAGTCAACGTGGTCGGCGCGGGGGAAAATTTCACCCAGGTGATGGTATTCGATGGCTTGAAAAACGTTATCTTCACCACCGGTGGTCTATCTACTGATTTAATGTGTTGTGTCTCGAGAGGCTCGTTGCAGTACTGCGGTACAATTGTACTCACGCGACGAGCGAGAGCTGCGATGGAATCAAGAACAATCAGACGGACGTTGCTCTCGATCATGCGGGCCTGAAGAGTCTCCAAGCGATCCATGAGGGCGGCGGAGTTGTCGACCGGGAAGACGGTCACCTTCGCAACCGCCAATCAGAGAAGAGACCGATAGACAGAGAGAGAGAGAGAGAGAGAGAGAGAGAGAGAGAGAGAGAGAGAGGAAGAGAGGTGAGAGAGGGTTGAGAGAGAATTGAGACAGAGAGGTGAGATAGAGTTGAGGAAGAGTTGAGATAGAGATAGAGAGACAGACAGACACACAGACAGACAGAGATAGAGAGACAGAAAGAGAGAGAGAGAGATAGTGAGACATACACAGACAGACAGACAGACGCACACACAGAGATGGAGCGAGGGGGACGGCATTTGATCCCGAATCAAACATCGTGAAAGGTGGTGAAGGTACACCGTTGTTCAGAGGAAACAGTTGCCACCTCGAGATGTTCTGTGCAGAGCTGGGAAAGGCAGAAGGTGGCACCGCGTCAGTAGCTTTCAGCATGTGACTCTCGCGATATACCTGATTGAGAAGGCGCTCCATCGAGTCCTTTTCGGTAGAGAATTCTCCGTAGTGCCCCGGATGTCGCTCACTCGCAATTTCCACCAACCGGTCAGGCGAGAACTGCCATGGCGAAAAAAAAGGGATGATGGTACGTTGCCGCTCGCAGGGCACAAAGGGGCAGCTTTGTGCAGCAAACACGGGTAAGACCTGTGTTTTGTCAAGACCACTACAGTAGTGTTTATCCTGCCAAGGGTGAGAGAAATTTGTGGCCCATGGTTGACGTACGAGACAACACCTCCAGCAGACAAACATCGCTTGGGGCGTCTCGTGCCGACACTAGACCCCAGAAACAAGCGCCCCAACACGTGCTCCAAGCTACGAACGCTCAAGTCGCTTCCTCCGTGTGGTATCGCCCGAAGCTCACCCCCGCTACCCCTGGATGAAAGCCTGATACCCCCATCGGTCTCGAAAATAGCAAAAAAAAAATAACCTTCCGCTCTGTATCGAAGTAGACCACGCCCGCGTCTTCGCCTAGGCCACCCAGCTTTGCAGGAAGGCAAGCCTGCGCAGCCACCTGAAGGCAAGTCTGCGTCTTCCCGATGCCCGCTGGTCCAACTAACTCCGTGATCATGCCCGTGGAAAAGCCACCCTATGATCCTCCGACGAAAGAGGATAGGCAGGCCGGAGAGCAACAACAACAAGGAGTGTAAGAATTAGACGTGCAGGTTTGACGCCAAGCGCGTGACCGGTGTGCGGACTCGAATCTGTGGCACAAGGTAAAGGTGAGGCACTAAACTGAAAAGGTGAAACTTCCGCAGGGCGGTCCTGGGGCCTCAACACACGTCGTGACCATTCTAAATTGAAACCGCCACGTTCTCGATACAAAAGTCGGTCTCAGATTCTACGAAAGGGCTGGCTTGAGGCATGGGAGTAGATGTCACAGCGCGACGATTGACTAAAGCAGTACATCACGAGATGGGTATGGCGGAGAAACACGATCACCCAAGACACCAAACAACACATGTCACACCTTGGGTGCGTCCTGATATCATAGCCTCCAGGAGACAAAGAGCAACACTCAAACCCAAGGGTTGATGGTGTTTGCATACAAGACAAGATGGGATGCGCAGCACAGAGCGGAGTGCGATGATGTTGGTCCAGTTCACGTACCTGCAAAGCATCGTCTAGTGGTTGAATTCCTGTGGCTACGAAAAAGCTCGCGCCAGCCTCTCTTCGCTCTCGAAGGAGGTCGCCGGCTGTCTTCGCCTGCTCGGGTACGATCCTTCTCGACACGTAGTCCAGCAGCTCCACGACCTTCTCGCGGCTGGCGTCCAAGCTCTGCACCAGCTGGAGCTCGGTCTTAGAGAACATGTCTCCTGCCGTGTGCAATCCTTCAGAAGCTAACCGCGAAACGAGGTCGTCGTCGAGACCGAGCCGCCGGAGAGGCTGCTGGCCAGCCATGCTCCCTGGAGGGCGAACAGCCTGTGAACGCTGTGTGCGACAGCTGGGTATTGGCGGCGGGTTTAGTCGCTTCGTTAGCGATGAACCAAGTTGTAACAGCTGTTGCTAACTCATGCCCAAGGGTGTCGTGTCGATCGACGATCACCTGTACTGTGTAAACAAGGTGCTCGACAACTCATGGAAAAGGCGACCACCGTCCAACATAGACCAATATACAACTCCATAGCTGATAGGCTTGTCGTCCAGAGACTATTCGAGGTGGAGATTTTTCGCGCAAGCAAAACATTCCGTGTCGTACTTCTCGGCGTAGTTCATGGTACCACATGTTTTCTGCATGCACATTTCTGAAAATAGAGATTGATCGGCGAAAAATGCGTTTGCATATCCTACAACAACGCCGAACGCTTTCTACGCATGCAGTCTGGGGTCGGTCGCAACCACCCCCAGCCCATCATCAACGCAGAGAAATTTTAAACTACCTTTTTCAGAGAAATTTAAAATCTGCGGGATACACAGCAACAACACGAACTGCGCTGCTGCGATGTGCTGCTCTGAAGATATGCGTACCGCAAAAATTGAAAAATAGACAGATCTAGGTACTCTCACACTCTCACGCACCTACCAGCCAAAGATCAATCTGCCCCCGGATGGAGCAGAGAATTAGAGTGAATTGGCTGTACTTGGGCACGTGCGCGCGTAGTTGTGTGTGTGGGGACGTCGTGGTGAAGTCGACCCGGAGCTGTGGACGGGGGCAACGCAGATAGAGCCCTCAGGTACTATCCCCCCGGCTCGGTGTCGCGTAGTACATTCTGTGGATCGAGCCCACGTTTCACCAACACAGCAGTACGTGTCGGCTGCTACACTACTGTAGTTACAGCAGTAGTATCACTAGAGTAGCTGGCACAACTGGCAACGTCAGAGGAACACACTCTCTCTACGAGTGGGAGATACGATACGATACGAAACGATGACTGGGTCCCAAGGAAAACAAGGAAGTAAGAACAGAGGGATTGACACAAGCTGCACGCAGCACGATACGACAGCAGCAGCAGCCGGAGCTGCTGCTCCTGGCAAAGCCGACACCAACACGGCGTGGGATCGTCGGATACGTGGAGCGTCGTTCGTTTCATTCTTTTTGGGCTGTGTGTGGGTGCTGCTGTTCCCCCTGGTGACACTGACTACCGGAGAGTCCAAACCGAGGGGAACCTTCTTCGACGAGAACGCAATGCTGGTTCACCACACTTCGACTAAGCTCACGGTCGCCGACGTCGACTGGGCGAAGCCTGCGCGGCTCGCCAAAGCCTACCCTCAGCAGGTGAAGCGTTGCCCTGCAAGACTGCCGTAGGGATCTAGATGTCGGCTCCTGCCCTAGAAGAATCTTGGTGTACAGCTTGTGCAGTGTATAATGTGTAATGCCTAGCGGTGGATACTACCCAGTGAGAAGTCACCAACAGTCAACGGAACCCTAACCCTGCATCGGAACATAGCACCGCGCTGACTCGGTTATTTGTCCATCAGGATGGAGCCACGGGTGCGGAGTGGGTTTGCAGAGTGCTGCATGGGATGGACCTTCCATGCTACACTCACAGCTTTTACGAGAGACCGGCGTCACTCTCCGGACTTCGAAATAGGTGAAAACAACATGGAACCGTGATGCAGAGAATCTCATCGTTCAGATTCAGCTCGTCGGGTTGTTTCGTGCGTGTGCTCCAAAAGCGGGAAACTTTAACTCCGCTTCGAATACCATGTATGTAGCGCACGACCTAACGGAGCGTTTATCCCCGGAAAAAATGTCGTTGGCCTACGTAGCAGACTAGCAGGGGATGTGCCACGAAATGCATAGCTGGAGGTGATGTTGTTGCAGGTGGCATCACGGGTCAATGTGAGAAAAACATGCTCCAATATGTAAAGGTATTCGTATCTCCAGTATCCAGTTACAGCTCTGCATGGATTTCATGACACATCTTTCTAACCGGTTTTACCTCGAACGGGTAGTCTTAATTTGACGTTTTGAAGCAAACTTTCTGCACAAAACTCCCATGAAAACTCGGATGTGTGGCCTGCCTCGTGTGTGACTCCGGCTGGTGCGTCCAAACATACCGAAACGTGTGAAGTGTCAAGACTGATTTAACCTCTGCAACAAATAAATGGGAGTGACAGCACACAAGCGCTTCGCTGCACTGCTGCTGCCTTGATGCAACCTTTCTGCATACCGCCTAGCGTGTATACCATACTGGACCCGGCACCAGGGTCAGACGGCAAGGAGTGCATGGTACTGACGACAACTCAAGACCTTTCTGGTGCGGCAGAGGACATGCTAGACCAACCAACCTTCACTGGACTGTCGCTCTCTCTGTCAGTCCTCAAGTATCTCAAGGATCGTGTGGGGTGGATGTCGAAGCGAATAGTCGTGCTTATCGCCGATGAGGATGGGTACAGCGTGGATCGCTTGTTCGTAGGGGTTAAGAGGTTCGTCGACGATTACCACACGGATACCCTGGAGTTGCTCGAGAGGTGAGGGGCGTGGAAGGGCTTCAGCTTGATAATTCCTCTCGTTCTTCTCGCTCACGACTCCACCACATTGTTGAGCGCTCAGCTTATTTTGGCAACCATTTACCTTTGTCGGCGCTGTTGTTATGGCCGTTTACGACGTCCTTGAGAGGTTCAAAGCGTGATTGTTCTGTGCATATTTTTTACCTCTGAGCGAAGCAATACCATGTAAAGGCCTGTCACGAAACGACCGACTCATTTCCCCCGCACACCCCCGTCACTGCAGGTTTTGGGAATGTCGCAACTCCCCTTCAAAATTTTATGTACCGCTGCCACGCTCTTCACCTCTGCCCCGCGAACGAAACATCACCGCGCCCTTTACGCGATATGTGATACTCTACCGACATCCGTTTCTTGTTGTGTTTTGCTTTTCTGTTTGTCGTGCGGCAGGCACACAAAAGATTCCAACATGACAAGATCGATTCAACACTGTGGAGTGATGCGGGCAGCCTTGTCCCTAGAATACGATGAGCCGGGAGAGCCTCAGGTGGTGCAGTTGCTCACGTCAGGTACGACAGCTCTTCGAGGCGAAGTCTGGAAGCAGTTCCGGCCCAGAAACGAATGAACTACTCGTGGTGGAATATGATCGATGGTCTGCATATATTGGGCAGCATGTTGCGAGCTTTTATCTCAGCCTTTCCTCAACAAGAAAAAACGAACTATACAAAGACACTCCTAACCCTGCGAATTCATGCTTTCTGCTCTCAGGGGTAAACGGCGAACTCCCGAACATGGATCTTCTCAACGTGGCAGTGATCCATCACGAACGCCAGGGAGTTGGAGTTCGGCTAGACACTTGCTCCGCTCCTCTGCACGGAGATCAACTCGCCTGTTTGGATGTAGTGGGGCAGGCTGCCACAGCGGTTGACCGATATTTGCCAAAAAAGAGCGATGCTGTTCAAGGATACTTCGACCGGCTGTTCGGGATGCTGGGTTTTATGGGATCTGCCGTGATGGGGCCAAGTGGGCCGCACGCGCACTTCTTGAGGCACAGCGTGGATGCCTTGACAATTCGAGGCCTCGGGAGGACTGGAGGGGAGCCAGCGGGCACCGGCAAACGTGCTGTTTCTTTAGGGTCAGGCGTCAGTACCACCGCCGCCGTGGTTAGTATCGTGCGCGGCGTTTCGAACTTGGAGGAGGAGCTACACCACTCGTTCTTCAGCTACATCATGCTGTCTAAGGCAGCATTCGTCTCCATAGGTGCGTTGGGTTTTCTGGCGTGCTCGAGGTGTCGATTGGTCGCGCCCCCTGCCAAGAGTTCCGTTCCATTGTGCGGTTGCTTATTGACACTTGTCTGGCTCGTTGGTGTGTGCGCGTATTGCACGACTAAATATTAAGTGGATCATCGCTGGGCTTTATGTTGACATTAATTTTATCGCCTGACGCTGCCCCCTTTCCACGTTCGCTCCATTGGTGAAACTAAACACGGTAAAGGTGAATACGCTTATGCGTTGGTTTTGCTGCTAATCCCGCTGGCGCTGCAAGGAAGGCGCCTTTCAGCACTCAACGGAGACAAAACCCTCTCCACGGCTGTGCTGGTCGTGGCAACGTTTGAGGTGTTCGGGGCGCTCCTCCTGTGGATCGCATCTGCTTGGCCGGAGCCGTCTGAGACAGCTCTGGGGGTGTACCTCAAGGTCGCAGATCTGGCGGGGTATCTCTTGGTGTTGGCTGTGTACGTATGCTCGACGAGGCAAGCAAGCAGCCCACAAAGCCTCGCAACTTGGGTGGGGCCCAAAACAGTCATGTCGTGCGTGCTAGGCTATGCGTGCTCCGTGACGGCTCTTCTCAGCTGGCAGGTGGCGGCGGTACTAGCACTTACCCATGTGCCGTTGCTTCTTGCGGTACGGCCGTTCCAGGGAAAGCGTTTGTCAAGTTGGTGTATGGCGTTTGGTATGATAGTCAGCTCGCCGGCACGCTGGTCGTCCGTCCTTGGATGGTCCACGGCACGTGCCTCGGGCACGAGCGTAGTGTTGCGATGGTTGCGGTTGTACCGGTTGTCTGGGCTGTTGAACTTGCCGCTCATGTGCCTCGTGTCCATGCCTGCGCACTTGACGATAGCTTTCGTGCTCTTAAACCAACAGTCTTAAATACTACTGTATATCGGCAATATTAAACTCTCAAAAGCTCTCATCAAGTCTCCGAATTTGTTATCCCAACCTTGAATACTTCTGCAGAGGGATACATGAGATCTCGACCACCTGTCCAGATTGCGTGGGTGCTACCCATCAAGCGCGTCTTGACTTCATTACATTACTCCTCTAAGTTGCAAAACGCGATCATGTTGCCCCTCTTGACAAGTTTTTGAAGCCGATGCCTTGGCACGAAACCAGCACCTGGTGCCGCACACCGGAGCAAGCGCGGCAAGAGTGAAGCATCGGTTGTGGTGGGGGCGTTAACGGGATATTGCCCGGCCAGCGTCCGACTGCGTTTGTATTGATTGAACTATCGGACGAAGAACTCCTGCTTTCACCCCGATCTAAGCCTTCGGTGTAACGTAAGAATCCACACTGTTAGCTTGGCTCACCGTTGATGTCTGAGGGTCTGGTTTCAGTCGGAAGTATGCCCCGAAGAAGTCTCGCAAGTGCCGGAGGTAGGTCACGCTGTACCGTGTGAGCTTGCCGATGCGGAGACGGCTGCAGACGGCAGTGCAAACAAAATGTGACACTGAGATGCAGGAAATGATATTTCAACTGCCTACTTCGGCTTTTGAGATGTGCAGCGTACCAACATTGGTCCCAGCACAATAACAACGACACATTGGGCAGGTACAGTAGGGCAAACCTCACCTCACGTCCTCGGGGCACAGAACCATTAGGAGCATCGCCAAGCTCTGGTGGGATGAGTCTACGCACCCGCCGTTTCTGTTTCGGGCAAATCAGTAGCAGGCGGTGGGAGCGGGTAGAGGACAGCTTCATCATTAGATGCAGCTGGCTCCGTACGGAAGACTGTTGCGTTTGCTCGACGACGTATGGAGATCTTGGAGTCAAGCACAAAAGAGACGAGGTGGGAATGGTCACCTCTGGTTGGTGACGTTCTAGTAATAACTCATTTGATACATCGTCAGACGAAGCTGGCTCTGCATTGCAAACGCGTTCGATTTCTCAACGAAGCAAGGCGATCAAGCAATCATGCACGAAAGAGACTAGATCCGCATAGCTGCCTCTGGTTGCTGGCGTTCTAACTCAACTCACTTGATTTCCTCCAAGATAAGCTTGCTGCCGAGGTTCCCAAGGTCCTCCGGGAGTGTTCCCTGTGGGTAGGTACATCGATTCGGGCGGGCGGGTCACACATGTTACGGGGGCCCGACGCAAGGAAGGTAATTGATATCTGATTCATGGCAACTGAGCTGTGTGAGAGGGACTAACGAAAGCCGAGCATCCTGACCCATCTTGTGGGAATCTGAACAGGAAAATTGCTCGTAGCAGAGTTGGACACCGCTGCGAGACCTATCTGATCACTGAAGCAGTATAAGTATGTCGCCGTCTGCGGGAGTCAGCGTACGTACAGTACCTTCTCAGCCGCAGTCTCGGCAACCAGAAGAACACCAGTCGTCGACTCCGCTACGAGGCTCAAAGCAAACCCAGGCGATTCCCCTCCAGTGCGACCAGCATGATGGTCGGTATGGACCCACACATCAGGGAGAAGACGATTCAACAAGCCTGTGGTCGCGGTGCGGTGAGGGGAGGCGTGCCGGGATGAAACAGTGCAAACGGCTGGCTGAACGGTTGTGGTTGCCAAGTCAAAATGAGGGACAGCCGCATGTACACAGAAGCAAGACCGAAAAATAAGTCCGGTTGATCAAGATCCTGCGTGTACCCCAAACCAGTTCTGAGCACACACCTCGAGAAGACTCTGCGACGCGATTGGCAATTTGCGGGGAAACCTTGGTGCAGTAAGCATTCCCGCGTATTCGCTTGATCAGCCCCGGCTCTGTGAAGTCGATTGGCTTGAGCTCCCTCACGATTGGACATCTGAACTCAACGAGACCTCCCCCGCCTGGCGGTGCTCCGCGGCGCTTGACCTTGAAGTATTGCACGAGGGATGTTCAAAAGTACGGGGAGGCGAGAAAAGCTGTCAAGTTGCGGGTAAACAGCTCGATGTTCAAGCAGCGGGAGTATCTCGCGAAGACAGGATCAACATGATACTCTGGGTGGACAAGTATCACGATGACTCGTGGGGAACTCGCGCAAAACGTACCTTAAGCTCCAGGCCGCCCTCTTCTGCCACCCCGAAGTGCTTGAGGAGTGGCAGTGTTACAGCTTTGAGGGCATCCACGGACAGATCCACGTCGTCATTTGTGATCCCAGACAGAGTCAGGTTGAACGGGGTTTTGCTGAGAGATGTTGCAAGGAATAGGAGCGGCAAGCAGCGAAGGCAGGTGGACAGGCATCGTGATGAACCAAAAGATACAGGTTCAAATGTGCTGGAACAGAAGAACATCGTGCGGAAGACCCGTCTAGGTATTGTAACGCAAAGGGCCAAAGAGTCAGGGTATCACGTAACCAACATTCATTGCCACGCCCTGACAATCTCACCTGAAAAGAGCCAGCGGGAGGAGGCCCTCGATGAACCATCCGAGCGAACGACTAGTGCCGCAGTCGTGACTCTCGCGTCCACCTGTTACGTAGCCGGGCTTGAACCTCAACGTTGTGCCTGTTTCGTTAATCTCGACCTGTGGGCGGAGAGACCACGTACAGCGCGCCGAGAAGGGGTGTTTGCGAAGGTTTTGGCACCTTTCAAAAGCTAACACTTCATCACCAATAGGAAAGGAAAAACACAGACATTCTCAAGCCCAACATACATTTTTGACGCTGGTACTGGATGACTTGTGAATCAGGACTTCTCGAGAGGATGCGAGTATAAAAAACAAAAGCACACCGACAACAAACTCCAGCACCTAGAAGGCTCGGTACAGGTAACTGTAGTACCTGTGTCCCGTTGGTCAGCTTATCGACGAGTCGCAGGAACGCCGCTTCATGGCCCAGGATACCCATCTGCGGGAGGCCCGGCGAGCGTGGTAGGCACGAGTGAGCAAGCGAAAGAGGGTGGGAAAAATTTCGAAAGTAGCCAAGCAACAAGAGAGTCCCAGCCCGAAGAAACGCGCTACCTAGAGACATGAACACAAGAAACTGTGTTTTGTGCATCGCTTTTCGGCACTCTGGTGCGCAGTTAAAAGGATTCTTGCATTTGAACTTTCGCGAGAATCTCTGAGATTTCCACGAACCAAGGCACGCAAGCCTCTCAGAACTGGAAGCCCAAACGGGGACACTTTGGGGACACAGCACTGAAACATCTGTTTTCTGAACCGTTGTCATCACTATGCTCCGCTGTGTGGGACGCGCGTGGGACACCGTTTTCTAGGATGCTTGTGAGAGGTGGTACGCTGTGTAATACCAGGTACACTGCTGTGATGCCTGTGGGCCCCTCCCCGGCTTCTGACTCGCTGTACATATATCTCCCGAGCCGTGTGTCCCTGAGGTGGTAAACTGCTGTACCAAGCCTGTTACTGGAAGATTTGCTGACCTTAGTACGGAAAGTGTAGCATTTGGGGGCACATGCCGCACTGAACCCAAGTTAACCTTCGTGCCTCGGGACTGTACAGCCTCTCCCAATAAGCGACCGCGATTTTTTCTGGGCCCATAACCTGCAACAAAGTGCGTGCTACACATGCATAGGAGGGTTAACGAACCCAAATGCACGAGAAATTAGATGTATCCATTTGCAGGCACACACCTGAACTTCCTCCTGGTAGTCCGTGGTCGCAGGGAACGGTCGAATTTCATCAATCCTGATGGCCCGTCCGCTCAGCACCGAGCAAACAACCCTGTGGTACACATGTGACGTTGGGAGACAAGGGTCAGGTTGGGAGAGGCGATCACACGGCTCCAGTGTGCATGTAGCATATATCGGTGTCTCCAATCGATTCTGCTGGATGGGGAGGGTCAGCGCGTGAAGCAGCTCACACTACAGGGACCACCATTCACAGCCGCACCTCTGTCTGAAGTGCTTGCTGCCCTTGTATCTCAGCACTGCAGCTCCTGGTTCGTTCGGCTGGCTAGACCTTTTCGACGTTTTCTTGAGCACACTGCTCTTCCCTGAGGTAGGCTTCATACCATTGGCAGCAAGCTTCGTCATCCTTCGGAACCAGGAACAAGCTGGGCTGCTGTTGAACACAGCTGTAGGCAGCTCTCATCCGCACCCAGCACGACCACCCACAGGTAATAATTTCGCCGCATCAGGGGCGCGGTTGTGAAGACTATGGTATGTGGGGAGAAACGTCGGTCGTCCCCCCCCGCGCGGGCAGCGCGGGCAACCAGGCAGAAGGCAGGGCAGGCAGGAGCAACGTCAGCTGTTGTGCTTAACGAAGTACACAGACATGCTCATGAGGTGTGCGTACTTTGGGCTAGCCCTTCTGCAGCCAGGAGCCTATGGACTAGCTCCATCTTTTGTATGGTCGTATCCTGCTCGAGGTAAGAGTGTTAGAGCGTGTTGCATGCAACAAGAAGATAACGTGGCACTTACATTGCTGTCCAGGTACATATTTAGAAGCGACCGACCTTGAGCGTCGCAGCGAAGGCGTTTGAGATTGGCATCTCACGCCATGGACAAGGCTGTTGCCGTTGTTTTCATACCCGATGCTCGTGACACCTCTTTGGTGTTGATAGGTGGCGCACAAAGAGCTGCGTCTCGCATGCCCGAATGCCGCATGGCAGCAGCAGGGGAAGCGGCGAGTTCCGCGTCTGGTGCTGCTGATACGGCGAAGGTGCGCAACCCTCCCCGATGTTTTCCTGATGTTTCCCGTTTTCCCTCAAGCATCATCAGCACTTCAAGTAAAATGCGTTTCGACTTGACATTTATATAATTTGAGACGACACACGCGTTGCCGCCCATGGAAGAATTGCCAACAAAAAATCTTATTTTCGGACGTTACTAATCCTGGAATCACATCCCGAGGCAGTATTTCCGCGAGGGACTTTTTGTTATTCTGCTAACTCTCGCTGTAGTGCTGACCCCAAATCGTGCACATCATCTATGCGTTGCTCACATGTAAAGACGCACACATACCAATTTTTGTCAGGTTTGGTTGTTAAGGTTAGGTACCAGGCCAAAGGCGTCGTAGGTCCGTTGCTTGCTTCCATGGCTTGGATTGCGATGACATTTTTGGCAGTAGGCTCATGATCGTTCTGGAAGCCTCTCTTCCGACTACGGGAGTCTCTCTGCCGAATTTGAGCCGACTTTCGCAGCACCACTGCGATCGCCGTAGTGGAGATCCCTAATCGTGCACATCATTCATTCGTTCTGCATGCTGTTTTATCACTATCATGGCCAAGTGTCGACCGAATTGGGAGACCGTAGTGCCCAGGCCTTCGCAGGTGAAAGTTGGCTCACAAGAGCTGAAAAGTTTGCGCGCAGCAGCAGAGACCTGGTTAAACTCAGATCTGATCGTGAGACATTTCTCGCGTCCAAAGCAAGATCAAAGGGTAAAAACAGGTACTGGTGGAGGGTATGACCTGCTTGAGGTGCCCGTGTACTTTGGTGGCACGGCGAGGTCTGTGTGAGGAGCACGAGGTGGTGAAAGAACTGGGCTCAGCCATGTCTATTCTGGGGATGGGGGGTGGTGTACTCATAGTCGTGCATGCCGTAGTCGTTAGACCATTGACCTCGCATCCCTACAAAGCCGGGACGGAGCACGCCGGGTTCTCACCGGACCAGGCTCTCACATCACCAAGCGCGAAGCGCCGTGAGATATTCGGCGAGTCGCATGAAGGGTGCGCTGCATCCTGCTAAGGGTGTTCGGCATCTTGTGCTTACTTCCTTGCGTACGGATGACAGCTGCGTATGAATTAATTTATTTTCTGGTGCTTTCACTTCCAGAGACAGTTGTAAGCACTGTGTAACTGCCTCGAGGGTGCTTGACCATTTTAACACAACGTGGTGCGATCATCCCCCTTGCGCGGAGTGAGGGTTCTCGACCCCGCACAACATGATCCACTCGACCACCATCATGGTCACCGGAAAAAAAAAAAAACAGAGGTATAAATAAAAAGGTAACCTGGTTGCCGAGTTCACGAAGTGAATTGGCTTGTTTTACAACGTCGTTGCCAAGCGACGAAAACCAACCCCGATGGCAAACACCGGGGGCGATCTTGGGAGGGGATGAAACAAATTTGACCTCGCTGAAATCAGGGGCGTGATTTTTTGTCCGTACTTTCTTTCAATTTCTATAGGTGGCAACACGTTTGACGAGGCCACTAGTTTTTGTTCACTAAGCACGCCCCTGTCTCCTTGGTTCGGTGCGAACAACGCCGTGTTCAGAAAACTCGCGGCGGGGTCTCATTCAAAGGTAATGCTTGCTTTCTTACAGGTAATGCTATCGGTTTGTTTCGCTGGATGACCATCACGCGGTGGAGGGCCGCAGCTGCGGCGGCGGTGGCATGATGATCATTTCTGCCAGCGTGCGCTGTGTGACATTTACTCGACGTATGAAGCATGCATTTGTGCAACGTCACCAACAGGCTTTTGGCATGTATGTATGTATCGTGTCCCCGTTAAAGAACATTTGGCAAGAGCATCCACGCGCTGACAAGGACACATGGACAGGCAATACACCAGGAGTGGCCCATGGCAGAACACGTGTTTGAGTAAACATTCCCTCCGAGTTGCGGGATGTATACACCCGTGCTTGTTGGCCCTTACGCTCTGCTCTGCTATTGTGCGGACTCGGTATCAAACGGACAGGTGACCCTCTACGAAGAGTTCTCCAGGTATGCCGATAGAAGATCTGTGGCGCAAGACGTCATCTTCGAAGTGAGCTTTCCATTGCACTCACTTGTGACGAACCAACTTTTGTGCGTATGTATCGTGATGAGACATAATGCCACACTCCTCCCGCCAGATGCATTCTCTCGGCGGACATCAACAGTTCGGTGCGCCTACATCTTTTCGCACCTCATCCATTCCCGTGACTCCTATGTAGGTGTTGGCAGCTGGTGCATTGCATCACATCATGTGCCGGGGGTGGCGTTTGGTTTGCTACTCCACCGCGAGTCTGTGGAGATCCGCAACCCCGGTTTTGGAGAATCGTCCACCTTTCAAGTTATGAATTGCCCTGCTCGCGCAGAGCTGCCTCCAATCCGAAGTCCACTTCTTCCTTTGAACGTGCGTGTTGCTTGATTACAACGAAGTGTTCTCCAACCACACGGCATAAAACTTGCGTTGCGCGAACAGGCGGCGGGCGAGTTTTACCGAATTCCTCGCGGAAGTTGGGAGAAGGATCGGATCCGTAAGGATAATGGTTCAATTCGTAGACGGGAGAAAGATGTATCTTCTTCGATTGCTGGGCCGTGTCCTATTATGCTAGTTCTATTCATGCACAACAACAGCAGAACAAGTGCAGACCGGACTACAGCAGCAGGACAAGTTGAAAATGGCGCAGACGAGAGAAAACTCTCTCGACCTTTTGCGAGCTGAGATAATTGACCGCGGTAGAAAAATCGCGGATAAGATATCGCGGACAACAATTCTTACTTTGTCGCAGCAGAAACCAATCCTATTCGGATTGGAACATGTGAACGAGTTGCTGTCAAACCCACGCCTGAAGGGTTGTTGCTTGGGACAGAAAAGGAGTGAAAGGATTGCTGCTACAGTAGCATGTGGCGAGCGCGATCGCGCTTGTGAGAACAGCAGTTGCAAATATCTAGCCGGTCCTCGCTTCTTCATGTCGCTGCTCAACAAGATCTTCTGCTCAGGAAGGTAATAAATCAGCCAGCATTTCGCAGTTGGAGAGAAGGGCGAAATCGGGAGAGCGAACACCAGAGAATCGATTGCAGGGTGGAGGGACAGCCGAACACACACGCTCGAATAGTGCATGTACACGCGGATGCAGGCGAAGATTTTGTCTCCTCCGATGACACTCTCGGTTCCAATGTGTTCCTGTCCTATGATTTCCGAGTCAAGTTCGGGGGGGCGTAGTGTGCCCACTTCGGGAATTCAGGCGAAACAAAGGCCCACACGTGTGCGTTGAGGCCTCCCTCAAGAAAAACGTTGGAGATGTAGGCCTTGACACGCGAAGCCACCTTGCTTTGTCCGTGCAGATTACTTCAACGGAGCACTTCGAGGACGTGGTATCTAGGGCAGCAGGGGCGGATGAACATAACGGGTACGAGGACGCTCAAGGAAACTGGAGAGTTCCACACAAACTCATGATGGTCCAAATTCATGCCGGCTGGTGCCGTGTTTGCAAGGGACTGCAACCTAAATTGCTGAAGCTCATCACCAAGCACCCTGAGGTTCTCTGCTGCAAGATCAACAAGACACACCACGAGGTGAGTGGGTCTAATAAAATCCACATGGCCTATTTGTAATACTGCACGATACCAGTAAGTGCAGGAAGTTGCCTTTCGTTTTCAAATTCCATGCTAGTGAACCAAGTGGTGTCGTTCGCTGCGTCCGGACGATGCGTGGCACGGTAACAATTGAAGCCAGGTTGACCGCAAACTTCTTTATTCCTTCTCTTCTCACTACGATTTCCCACGGGTGAAACGTTACGTGCTGTTGCCACAACCTCGCAGGAGCTTGCGGCAAAGCTCGGTGTGCGTGGGCTGCCGATGCTCATCTTTTACAAGAACGGCAAGCGGGTGGATCACCACACAACTGCCAACATCAACACAATAGAGGAGGCCATCAGAGATAATACTTGATACTGTTACAAAGGCAGCTGAGGTGTGCCTTGAGCACCTGCGCACAGCTGTTGGCAACCCCGTAAACGATACGTAAGTAAATTTCTATATACGAAAACAATTGAACACAATATCAACTAGTCCTGCAAGTGTTAAATGTACACGCGTGAAACGGCGAAGTCGTATCGAATGTACAACCCAGCTAACATAAATAAAGCACATCGCACTCGAGATACCACGTACACGGACCGGCCAACTTTGACAACAACAAACACAACGCACGCGCTATAGCCGCACGAAATACGTCACTTTGTACACATGAATGAGAGAATGTATCACAGCTCCAGCCGTCGATTTCGAGCACGATCTCTCGCTTCATTGGAACTTTTTACTGTTCTGGGTGGGTCGCCAAGGCAGGGCACATTGGGGTCGTAGCTCAGCCTTGACAGCATAGCTGAACTGAAGCAGCGAGCCTCCTGAACCCGCCCGACGTCAGCAAGACAGGGTTGCGAAGAAGTCGACTGGTGAGCAGTGTGGCTGTCCACAATCACAATCGGCGACACGCTCATCCGCGCATGCCCCAACACACCAATTGGTGAAGCCTGCGGATCCACACGGTCGTAGAAGCGCACATTTGAGTGCTGATCGTCTATACAGTTAGCTCACACGTACGATGCTTCAATCCTGCTTCACCCACCGGGCTGGATCAGCCTATCGAAGGCGTATGTATCGAAGAGGCACAGCGACAACGAAGACAAACCGCCGATAGTACTCACCGGTGAGACGATGCTCACGTCCCCATATCCCAGAAGCCACGCTTGCTGAAGCTCGGTCAAGATGCGGGTCGTGCCGAAGCCTCGAGGCCCTGTGATGGCCACTACCCCCGCCGCCCCCAAGCTGTCCTGCCCCAAGTCTGCTACTCGTGACTGTAGTCCTTCCTCGTCATCAGTCACCACCAACACGACGACGCCCTGTCATCACCGACAAATGCAAAGAACGTGTGGGCAAAAACACAACATCGAAGGCGTAAAGCTTCGAGTTGTTCGAGGCTTCCTTCCGGAGTGGGGTAAAGAGAGGACCCCTGTAAGGGGTCACGCAATAACATGCAAAGAGCAGACACGTAAAGAACATGTACAGTATTCACAGATCCCCGCAAATGAACCCAGAAAATCATCAAACACACGATAGCATATTCGCAAAACAAACCGCACGGCAGGCGACTTCCGAAGAAGAGAAACAGGAACAAAAGGCTCCATCCAGACAACAAGAGAGAGTACATTGTCTCGCCGAGCAAAAACACTACAACAGCAAGAGTCGCCTCATTCTATCCTTGGACCCCTCCCAGGCCGGGGTGTATTCGCCGCCGGGGACCAAGCCATTACCCGCGCGTACGTACCAAATGAATGGGTGGTGGTTTTCAGATCATTCCACCACATGGGAGGCAAAAAAATATGTTTGGCTTTCATCCTCTCACCTGCTGGTCCGGGGTCAGGTTTCCCTTGGCACGGTAGCTGGCATCACTCGCCTCTTTGAAGAAGAGCTGCTGCTGTGCAGCCGACATGCCACTTCCACCAGTTGTATCAGCAAGCACGTCCATCTCCATCACTGTTGTAGGAAGAGCACAACAAAATGACAACCGTGCTGGGTCGGATATACACACGACACGTGCGTGTCCCTATAAACGGACACAGTTGGGAGCAGATTTGTGAAAGTATTATTCACAGGTCAAACTGTTGTTTGTATATCCTTTTTGTATCGTTGCGGCCGGCGTTTCGCTGACATGACTTTGTGTTCCTGCGACTACTTGTGAACGCAACTTCTACAACGCTGTGCTACACAGAAGGCGATGATATTCCGAAGGAGTCGGCACCCGCAGTTGATGATCCGCACTCGTGTGCGCCAACTACAGCGTCCGTCCGAGGACAACACACCCGGGGGCACAGTCTTGTGAAGAGAGAAGAGAGGAGTGTCTTAAATCACGTGTTGTTCAGGCGCACACTCGTACCATGATCCATTTCGCGCCCAAGTGACACGTGTTGCGGCGGAAGTCAACGCATTTCATGGATAGCATACACCAAACCAAACCAAACAAGAAAGCGGTTCGGCTCAGTACTTACCGATCACGTAGTTGTCTTCAAAGTAGCGCTCCCTAAAACGACGTACAGCGGCCGTCACTGTTGGCACTGGGCGCATGAGCCAGTTACTCAGGCTGGCGAAAGTGTCCACCGAAGGAATTTCTTCCAAGACGGTTCGACCAGCGTGCTGGTTTACCGTCAGCAGAGGGGCGAAATACTCCGTGTTGGTGATCTGCGACAGAGCAAACGATTGCAAGGCGGAACGCTTGCACGTTGAGACGGAAAGACACCGATAAATCGCGCGTGCACCTCCAGTTCGAACACACTCCCGCAAATTTTAGCCACCGTTCCACACCTGCAAAACAAGTTGCAGTAAGATTTCGCACCTTGATAAACTGCGTGTCCCCCATGAAGTTCTTGAGGTTGTCACAAACCAAGCTGTTGTAATTCGCTATTACATCCACCACAGTGGACCCAAGGTCCTCCTCCGCATATCCGAAGTAGTTCAGCCATCGGTCCTCGAACCGCTCCCAGCTCCAAAAAAATCCCGGGTCGAGGAATATTTCTTCCAACGAGCTCGTGCTGTAGCAGGGGAATAAAACCAGAAGGTGAGGTTGGGGGGGCACGCTATTTAGCTCTACATGAAGCCGCCGCGAACAATTATCCTTCCCCTCGTCGACTCGGGCCGTCAGAGAGAAAACATGCGGCATTGTTCGCTTTTCTACATCTTCGAGAGTAAAGAACCGGCGGATACTCTACATCTGTCAGAACGGGCTTCGTGTCAAGAAAACAACGACAACCATTCGCTACGTTGAACACGGAATGGGAGGCATCACGATAGATCAGACGGACAGACAGTGCACCAGGTCCGCCGTTGTTGGGGAATATCTACGACGGCTGGTCAACAACCCTCCAGCAGGTATTCCGCTCACGCCTCTCCACAAGCTCGCTCTTGCCGGTGGAGGTCATAGATAGCGGAGCCCCACCTGCCCGAGGTTCCTGAGCTATCTCCCGCAGCAGTAGAATTCCCGGCAGCGATGTCGTTGGATCCCTGGGAGTCGTCGCTACCGGTCCATTGCACCAGCAGAACCCTTTCACTCATGAGGGCGAACAGGTAGGTCGACGTCTGGCATGATCACACAAACGACGTTTGTCACAATGACATTTCAGCAATGGTAGGCGAATAAGGTAGTCGGACGTTTCAGCAACCGCTCGGCGTACAGTGGAATTCGGCAGCGACGCTACGCAGGCCAAGCTTCGTAGGCCAACACAGAACACAGAACGGCCACAAAGTCTCTGCTCAACCAAAGAATACACGTTGGATTTGCGTCGTTTCGTCCAAGAGTACTTGCCCTCACCAAGCCAAAGAGCGATTGCGCCACGGTCGTGTTCCCCGGCATCTCGTACACGACGTACTTCGCGTTCATCGGACTCGCTGTAGCGCTGTTATGAAGAACGGCATAATCCGTGAAGACCTTCGGGATGTCCTTGTCTTCAAAGTATGAGGGGTCCTCTGTCTGCGGTGCTGGTGCTGAGCTATCGAGGGACGAGCCAGTTGTGAACGCCTGACCCCACTGCTCGAAGTAAGCTGTCAGGCAGAGCAATAGAGCTGCCAAAAAAATAGTCACGACGCCCATTACCCCGATGCCTCTCCACTTCTGCCTGGCGAGCAGGCGACACAACCGTAACCATCTGCGCACAACAAGTTGAAACAGACATTTCAATTTTTTGGGGCCATGTGTTCCATATGGACTCGAGGTGGGTGCTGGTGGTGGAGGAACATGAGTAGCGGGTGGTACACAGGTAAACTTTGGCATTCAAAAGCCATGACTGTTGTCCTGGACAGTGGGCATACTACAAGTAAGTGATTAACACGCACCTTCGTCGCCTTCGTCGTCGTCGGGAGCTAGGGGTTCGTTCTAGTGTCGCTCCTGCCACCGGCGCTCTGGAGCGCCGAGAGGCACGCGGCATCAGGACTGAGGTAGGCGTGGCTGAATATGAAGGGGTAAAACACCCGGGGTTGGCTAGCGCCAAACACAGAGAGCTGCTGCGGCACCAAGCAGGTGGGGTGGGTTGTTCACGCTGCACACTAGACTCGCCAAGGCGTGGGGGCACACCAGATTGGAGTAGGAGTTGCTGGAGAGCAAACAGAGCGTGCGTGATGCGCGCGCGCTATTCATATGCAGGTTCCACCGCAACGTGCTGGGACAGCGGCCGCGAACGACCCTGTTGGGCACACAACAGCACTTTGGAGGCCGCGTAGGTCTGCTTGACTTGGGGAGAATGGTGTGGTGGGGAGCTCATTTGCTGGGGATATTGACGCTCGCAGCCGGTTCGGCCGCATGGTGAGTGGGACAGGGTTCCTTGATGCTTTGGCAAGACGGGCTGCTGTGTTCATGTTGCGGTGCATGTGAACGCGAAAGTGAAAGAGTGTCGCGGCATGCTCGTGTTCTCGAAGAGAGTATTTTGTTTCTCCTCCTGATGTGTGTACAAGGGCATCTGTCAATGATTCTGATGGACTCTCATTTTGGTCGCATCTACATTACAACGTCAGTAGGTGTTCTTGCGGGAGGTACTACTAGGTGCACACATGTGTACACCAGTTAATTACAAAAACTTCACGAGTTCAACACGGCCGGTCTTGCCCCCCTCATGCGCACCCCCAGGAACGTTGCCCTACCAAGTATGGGTCCATCATCACAACTACAAATGGCCAGCCGCCCTCGCGTCTCCGGAATCCAAACACCGCGGTATCATCGGTTGCCTTCGGCACCGCACGACCATCGGCACAACTATTCGGTATCCAGACATGCGGCATCCCGCCTTGGCAGCTCATCTCCGGAATCCTCTATTGCTGAGGGGGAGGACGTCGTTGATCTCGAGGCCAGGCCGTTTCCTAAAGTGGGGGATGTGGTGCGCTACAAGGGAAAGTGGGAGAACGAAGTGTCGTTCGGAGAGGTTAGTTCGTACCCAATGTACAGTAGCACTCCCCAGGTACCGCCTCTGTGGCTCGTGTCTGGACGTAGCGTAGCACGTGGTCCTTGTTGAAAAAGAGTGCCTCTTATCTTTACCCCTCCTATTAATAGTACCCAGTCCCTCAGCAAAAAAAAATGTGGCGAAAACGTTTGTCTGTCATTGGTCGAGGGTCTACAGTCCCTCCAAAAGATTTGAGCTCCTTGCCAGACCAATGACCTATTTGGCTTCATTCAGTATGAAGAGTGTCCCCACGTGTGTGGGGACACTTTTGCATACTGAAGCCAGCACAGCAATTTTTTCCAATACCAGGCATGTACGGTTTTTCGACCTGTAGGGGGCACGCGGGTTGGGAGATGTGTACAGCAAGTCAGAGGCCCAGGAGAGGCACCACACAGCATGTCACACAGCGTACCATTTCAGCAAGCAGACAGACCAAAGGTTCTCACGTGCGTTGCACACAGCGGAACCTAGGGTGACGACAGTGCAAAATAGGCTTTTTGAGTGCTGTGTCCCCAAAGTGTCCCCATTTAGGCTCCCAGTAATAGGCAGGTAAACGCCAGCGTCTGGTGTATCCTGATAGCCTATTCTATGGCGCATCGCGATTATGTTCTGTAACACCAGATTCGTCAGCTGAGGAAAGTGGAAGAGTCAGGCGAATGGAGAGCGTATGTACTCGGACTGGACTCCATCGGGAACGTGAGTAAATATCCTACGTCTGTACGCTCAAGGGTTAGTAATTCCCGCTGGGTACGTGTTGGTCTTGCCGTTGCTCCATTAATTTCATTCCGCATCTCCAGTTGTACGGAAAAGTACCGTTAAAACGCCTGTTTCAACCGCCGATGTTATACAGGCGGCACAACGCCAGGTCATCCATGCCCGAGAAGTGAACTGTATACTGACCGTTCCGGGCTGGCTCGGACTTGTGCGCTAAAACACAGGATCAGTATGCACGCAAGAAGAATCAAAAGTCGAAGGCAGAGGATGTCACCACCTTGAGGTGAGCGCTCTGGCTTCAGCTGCTCTATCTCTTGTGCTCTACAGAGGTTGCGAAACGTATTGCTCATCCAACGGGCACATACGCAGGAAACGGAAGAAACAAAGTTGGGTCCATGTACGATGTAGACCACAACAAAGGCAACGAAGCGCTTGATACGGACTGCAAAGGTGTAACCGACGTGTGGGATGCGGAAGAAGGTACTCTGGTTGGATGGCTGTTGTAGGCGCTGCTGTTGGCGCGTAATTAAGGGACGCGACCACCCTGTGCCGGGGCGCCAGAGCTCGATGGTTCCTGAAGTGCGCTGCTCTCTCCTTCGGTATTTATTTCCCTCGTTCAAACTCTCTCTCCGCTGTTTTCTTTCTTGTTGTTGACAAGGAGAACAGGATCGGGTTTTTATTGTTCTAGCCCAGTCGCCGACCAGTAGCTGTTCACCCCAAACAACCGCCCTCGTGTTGCGCTGACCACGCATCTGTCGATACGTGCGTTCGCGAGGTTGAGAGGTGTACGTAATATAGCGGTCAAATCTCAGATGTTGCCAGCAAACGTTCGAAACACACCGTTCGCTTCGCCGAGTTGTCTCTCGCCAACACGTCTTGGTTCACTCACTTTTATTTCTCACCCCGTTTGCCTGATATTTCCCTATCTGCTCGTTGATCAGGCCTGTGCGGGCTTTCTACGTGAGAAGTGTCGACGGTTTCAAGGTGAGTGAGGTATCAAGGTCAAACCCTACGCGCTTTGCTTGATCTTCACTGTAAGGAGGTTGATGACGTCGGAAAGGCGGTGTCTACGCTTGTCTCATGTCCTCACCATTGACCCGTGGTACTACATAGATACGCGAGGTCTCCATCTCACGCTACAACATTCCTGTTACTCCCGAATGGCCGTGGTGTGGCAGGTCATGCACAATTCCGATTCAGGCGAACCGCGCTACATCAGCGACGCGTACGAGCTTGAAGGGTTTGAACTACCGGTAGGTTTTTATGATGTTGAGGTTCTTCTGGTTTTCTTTGTAGTGCTGTAACGGATTGTGGTCGGGGAGTCCAACGAACATATTCCGAAACCATGAATAACAACCCAGAGCAGTACAGTAGTATGATCGGGGTACGCACAGACCAGTGAAGTTGAACCATTTTTTCCAGTGTGGAAGCTTAACCTGCGCAGAGAACGCGGAATTTTTTCATTCCTTTTACTGTTTGCTTTATTAGTTTACCACCGATGAACCAGCTCGGATGCCCTCCACCTCTAACCCTACCCAATGTTTTTTCTACAGAAAATTGAGGTCGACCCCGTCAAGTTTGCGGCTGAGCTGGAATCTTACGAAGACCTCAAGCGGCGACTCGTTGTGGATGCTGCCCTGTTTGGCGCAGTCGGCGCTTTCGCGGCGTTCCAGGTCGGTGCGGGCAAAACATAGGGTGCTGCTTTTCTCGGGGGAATTGCCGCCGTTGAAAATTCTTGACGTGCGATGAACATTCGATCACCTTGAACGCCCAGAGTAATTAAGTGAGGATTACGATGTCCCAAGTGCGTGTGCACTGCGCATCGTGAAGCACCTGCTGGTGCTGGGAGCTCACGCTCGGTGACAGGCGTCGACATGACGTGCGGTTGGTTCGTGCGCACGCTCACCGTGGGACTGGCTGGTCTCGTTTTTCGAACGCTTCTGGCACGAGTTCTGAGAAAGACAAATTGCCTGCAACGGTGCGGTACCGAGGTCCTGCGGTGGCACAGGTACCATGCCAGACGTATACTGATACCCTCCCATCACTTTCCTTGCACAATCACACTCTGAGACTTTCATGTGTACTGGTATGGGTCGACCGTTCGAACCGATTCTGACTGCTGCCTCGCTTCGTCAAAGGCAACAACATCCTCAGGCGTTCGCTATTCGTTTCTTGCCTTCATGACAATATACCAGATATTTGGAGCGGATCAAGGGTTGCTCTTTGCGCTGGGTGCTCTCGCCTCTGTGGCCTACGTGATCCTCCTGGAGAAGACGGCAGACGACGTCGCGAGCGGCAAGCAGGACGTCGCCACCAAGCTTAAGGGTGACGCGCGTTTCGCTGTCCCGGTGGTGCTCGTCCTTGCCTTGGCGGCTAAGAACTACCTCGCGAACCCCGACGGTGCGGTGCTATTCAAGCTGATCCCCAAACATGACTTTGCTGCGCTTATGATAGGGTTCATAGCCCCTGCCAGGTTGCCGCTTCTATACCGAGAGGTGAAGTCATCTCTCAAGGGTGACGACGTGCTGGATATGCTTCCCGGGTCCATTGGACAAGGCCGGGCAATTTTGAGGAGCATGGGCGAATCGAGCGGGGCATCAGCCGATGGGGCCGTAGAAATGGCAGGACCACAAGCCACCCGAGTTATTGTCGTGTCGGGGCCAAAATGTCTGGGGAAAACCACGCTCGTCAATAAAATTTTAGCCGAGGATAGCCGCTTGGCGCAGCCGCCTTGGTGTACAACACGGCCACTACGGGCTTCAGAGGTCGACGGGAAAGACGCCTTTTTCACAAGGCAGGTCAAGTTCGAAGAACTCGAGCGGAAGGGCAGCTTTTTGCATGTCTACAAAGACGAAAGCGGGGAGTCGTACGGGTTGAGGCTTGAGGACATTTTCGCGATCGCCGAGAAGGGCAAGGTGAGCCTTTACCAATTAGCTGTCAAGCTTCGCTTCTTCAGGGAATGTTCGAGGCGTCCAGGCGTCCACTTGATGGAAGAGGGTCGCTTTTAAGTATCTAGGTAAAGCAGAACGATGTTATGGATACCTCTCACTCCTACAATAGACTCCCGTTTAGATAAGCGCATCCCTCAACGCGTGTCATGCCCTACCCTGGCAACGCTTTCGCTTCTTTCCAGGTGTGCGTCGTTGACGCGGATATGGCGTTGGTGAAAGCTTTAACGAGCGTGGGTGACTTGGCGCTCATCGGTGTGTGGGTAAGCCTTGACTCGATAGAATCAATTGAGGAACGGATACGGACAACGCTCATCAGCGCCGGGGCTGCAAAAGACTCGCCCACCCTTGAGGCTGATGTGCGAGGGATGGTCAGACAAGCCGTGGAAGACATAGAGTATGGTGTCATGAGCGGGGTGTTCGACTTCACCGTCATCAACAACAGCGACGAAGAGGAGTCGATGGAGACTGTGCGCAGGGCTGTCGAGTTTGCTACCACTAAATAAACAGCGTTACGGTTTGTGTTGTCTGGGGAAGTTGGCAATGTTGGGTCAAGGTTTCACGGAGGAAGTGTCATGCCAGCGTTTTCAGAATGAAGGGCACGAGGGCACCATAAAAAATCCCAGGAGGGCATAGGACGGCAAAATGCCCCCGTGTCAAGCTGCATCGCACGAGCTCTCCTTGAGCATGCACATGCACTTCGCCTTACCGGGTCCTGGGTCGGCACGCTCAAAGTGCGTTTCGACACTGAGTGGACATCGACACATCATAAACCCAAGTCGTGGACAAAATACTTAGAAAAACATATCCTTTGAACCACTTCAGCCGTGGTACGTCAATGCTTTCCAATCCCTCCCCTGGTAGGCGGCGCCTAGCCCACTACCTAAGCATTACACATGCTATGGTGGTTTAACCGAAGTTAGGGGTAGCTTCCAAAGCAATCTCCTCCTTGGGCGGCAGGATGGTGATCACGTCTGAGAGGGGGGTCTTCGGTCCCTCCTTGCCCTGCGGCAGAAGGCATTTGGACAAATCGAATCAACGGCACCGCGAGCGTAAATTGGGGGTAGTCAGAAGCACGACGGAACACTGTACCTCAAGCAAACGTTGGCCTAATGGTCACATGGGCATTGGTACTACTGTCATTTTTTTCGGTACAATACACTCGAAGACTCCCGACGATCCGAAAATATGTGCATGGCCGCTAGGATGCGAGACAGTAGGCAGTCACGCGCATCGAGGCATGTCTACTGGTGAGCATACGGCTGCACGTACCGTAGGGTCGTGGGGGAGCATGATGGACACGGTGACGCCCAGCACACCCTGGCGCATCATGACGTGGCGCACGGCGTGGTCCACGTAGTCTGACAAAAGCAAGAAACGAACGAAAAAAAAATCGACAGATTTAGGTAGAGATTGGCGAATGTGTTCATGCAGAACATAGCCAAGCGCCACACCCAAAACACTATTTTCCAGAGTCATGACAGCGTCACGGTCGGCATCACTCGTGCCACCCGTTCCATGCGGGTCTCTCCCGTTCAGGTGGTGCTCGGTCTCATCAGGCGTGTATCTCCACCCTCGATGTGTCGCGATGAACGTTTTTGAGTTACGTACCCAACCTTGCCTCTCCATACTGGCACCACGAGAAAACGTACTTGATGCAAATAGCACAAGCGTCATCAAAGCCGTCAAACCGTTCAAAAAGCTGACCTTGGAATAAACACTTTCGCTGAGGGGCATGCGGAATGACTTCACACGAAGGACACATGAAAGTCGCATAGTCTCTTTTAGCCCGTATTCTTATCCTCCATCGGCAGGATAATTTCGAACAACCACGTTGTACTTGCTGGGGTCAACGCACCAGTATTGAATGAGAGAGGTACTCCTGCACAAGTCCTTGGCTAGGGTGCTTAAACAATCTGTGCTGACGAGTCAGCAACGTGTAACCTCAACGACGGGTAGATATAGCTTCCAAGGGGCTTGTCATGGGACGACACACCAACCCAGGGCTATCCACGTGGTGGTCAACTCGCTCGAACCATGCTTAAGCGATGTACCGCTTTTGCCCAGATCAAGAACACGGGCAAGCCAACAAAAACACCTGCACACGAAAGAAAGAGAGACCACTCGGAAAAGAGGGCTACGAAGAGAGGAACTCACCCTCCCTGACGCGGCCGCTCTTGATCATGTAGCCGTCGCGGAACTTCATGGCCTTCGCACGTTGCGCCCTCAGCTTACCAGCCACGATCACCTGCGTCATCAATGCACACCATGTCAGCCTCCTACATGTGTACCGCAAGGAAACTTGTATATGGGCCATATGGTGAGGGTGGATGAGCTACAGCAACCCCGCCAAACTTGTCCGTCGATCGAAGTTGTGCACAAGATGCACGAGCAAAACATCAGCCGTTTCCCGTCGGAAAGAAGCACACTCCCCAGTACTCAACAAAACGCTACCCCATCCGCCACACCAACGCACTCCGAGAAGAGAAGTTCGTTGGTTTTGTCGAGACGTCCAAGAGAGAGATCGTTCTCAGCGCAATTTTTTACTGAGAACGCGTTGCCCACCTCGGCTCCCTTCGCCCCAGACTCCATGATGAAGCGAAGTACACCGTAGCATGCGCGGCGCACGGCAAGTCCGCCCAAAAGCTTGTACTTGAGCGACTCTGCCTGCAAGTGTCATCCAAGGAGACCGATCCGAGAAAAGATGAGCATGACGGCGGGTGCGTGAAGCGGGCTTCACGGTGGACATATGCATACACTAACCGCGCGTCCCTCGTGCAGAGGTAAAAACTGGCGTGCTGACCGAGCTGCGGAACTGTCACTTGAATGATGGAAGATTTACGGACGGCGTGCTGTGTGGTGGATACGAATTAAACACAAACCCAGAGGCAGGTTGGGTTCAAAGACGTTGGTCGCGTGCAACACGCAGCACGATAGCATTTACCACCGCGTGAGTACGCTTAAACTCGGAAAGTGCTCCAACCAACGTGAAAAATTAAAAGCCAAACTAGCGCGTACATCTGCATAGGAGTAAAGTGACGGTCAGGCTGGTGGCCATAAACAGGCAAACCCATAACGCAGCAACCATACTGATCAACCATCCACAAGCTCACTGATTAACCATCCATGTGCGATTTGTTCTACACACTCTGTAACACGTCCACACTTGTAAAGCGCCAGGAACACGGTCGCGGGCGAACCAAGTGCAGCAGTACTGTAGCAACATACCTGAGTCTGCGCGCACAGGCCGCGCTTGGCGACTCGCTCCGCGTAGAGTTCGACAGCGTCGTCAGGGAAGTTGAACCTGAACACCGTAGGGGTCAAACGACAACAGGAGTTCAAGCGTCACACTAGCTAATCGCGCCAAGCTCTTGAGGCTAATATGTTGGGTAAGAGTATACGGCTACCTGGTACAATGAGCGAGCGGACTCACTTCTTCGTGCGAATCATGCCATTTTTCGCGGACTAGCGTCGGACAAGCAATACTTCTTTGCTGTGCGTCCATAAAAAACGAACTATTGAGTACAGCGTTTACGGACGGAAGCTACACAGACCACACGAGGAGTCTGACATGACCTCTCCACCAGCTGGATCCTGCTGTACGTCGACCAGTGTACCGTAAGGTTGCGAGTCAAAGCACAGGGGTGCGAGAGATTTATTAGGCGTAATTTCTCCACAATCAGGAGGTTACCACTGTCGAAAAGGGCGGTTTTGGAAATATCTCATCGAGAGCTTTCCTGAGAAGTATCACTTGGCGCTCGCACCCTCCCGGCTGAGGAGAAATTTACGCTCTGAAAATCGAGGGCAGCCCTGTGCGCTGACTCGCAACCTTACGGTACTTGAATAATAGGTGTGCACAGCAGCCATAGGCATACACATTTAAGAGAAGCAATACAGGCGACCATGCGCACGCACCGCTTCTGCACCACGGAGGTGAGCTCCCTGATGCGCTGGCCCTTCTCGCCCAGCACGTTCTGCGGGCGGGTGGCGCTGATGATGATCTCAGTGCGCAGAGGGGTCACGCGCACCTCCACACCGGCGTAACCCTCCTCGGCAAGCTCCTGGGTAAGAAGCTGGCGGCCGAGACGAGCGGTTGCGGATTCGTGATTATTAGGCAAAAACTGGGGTGACAAGTACGGGCCCAAGGAGGTGGTTCGGGGCCACAGAGCAGAGACATCAGCTACTTCGTGACGAGTGATGGTAGGTGGCAGGCTGGCCTACCTCGTTAAGCTCGGCGTAGAACACGCCGTCCGCCACGAACTTGCGCTTCTTCGACATGTTGGTCGCCATGGCTGCTGTGCCTGAAAAACAATGGCAGCAATCGAGGTCGTTCAAGGAGAAGCACGAGGCAGTTTCCGGACATTGTACGCCTTGGCCACGGTTCTACCGCAGGGAGACAAGAACTAGTTGGCCACTGCACTATCGCAGGAAGCCGCCAAGTGTAAGCTGCTTGTCGACTACGGGCCTGCTGCCAGACGGGGGACCTTCGCGCAGCAAATACATGGACACGAAGGCGCGCAAAGGTAGAGCAGAAAGCTTCGGGGAGGAAGCGAGCAGCCGACACAACGCCAACACATCATCCCAACGAAGATAATTCCATTACATCACACACCCAGCTCACCTTCAAAGTCCGGGCCGGGGGAGGGATGTGTCCGTGCAGCGCGCCGCTCTGCTCCACTGCTCTTGAGGGGGCCAACAAATGCACCATCCACATCCATTATATCTACCATGGCATACTTGTTCTCTTGCGCGTGGACCCCAACCCAGCAGCCCTGGACATCGCTTTGTTACAACTCCTCCTCCGCATGTTCTCTCGATCCCCATGGCGAAGCGTAAGGCCGAAGGTAGCCAAAGAGGGGGGAAGGCGCCGGCACGACCCCCTCCGACGCGACAGACGCCACCAGCTCAAGGCGATGATAGCGATGACAGCGACATATGCGAGATCGTGAGCCCTCCCCCTGCTGCTGCTGCTGCTGCTTCAAGCTGTACCAAGCCTCGGCGACAGCAGCCGCACCAGCCTGCTCCTCGACCTACCATTGCCCCGCAAATCTCCCCAGGGCTAGGTTCCAATCTTCCCTCCCTTCAATCTCAAGCCGGAGCTGCTGCTGGATTGCTGTCGATGATGTCTGGGATTTCAGCCGGAGGGTTTGCGATGCCGCCAGGGCCAGGAGCCGGTTATTTTTTTCAGCAACAGGGCGCCTTCGCTCAGCAGTTGCAAGCATCGGGTGGGGCAAATCCCTTCGTGTACGCGGCGGCGGCTCCGCAGGCCCTCCCTCACGCAGCCGGACTGAATGGGAGGTTTTTAGCGGGGCCAGCCATGGCTCATTCGGGCGCTTCGTCCGCAAGCGGGTCTTCAAGCGGGGCACCGCATCTTGGTGAGATTTGAATTTGTATCTATTCATCACAGCGGTGGGATACGGGTAATGTAGCCCACAGGCGTCTTTACACATGAGAAACTGCCAACTGCTGCAGTGGTGATACTGCTGTCTGACCATTCGCCCCCGGGGTGGTCTACCTAGTGGGTAA